ACCTGGAGAAGATTGCAGGTTCGAATCCTGCGTCGGTCGAATATCTTTTTGTATAGGGATTTTATCTGGTAGCTTTCCTTTTTTTTCTTTTCTTCCGGGCAACCGTGCTATCGCTGACCGCTTGATCCTAGAGTTCTTCAGCTAGACCTGTTGGGAGTACTATCTCGTTCCAGCGGTGAGAGGAATGACGATGCTTAGAGTTCGCTACGTACCCATAGTCGTTTCATCTACCAATTTCTTCGCGAAAATACGGTGTGTAGACATTCCTTCTCTGTCTACGGAATACTTGTCAAGGAATACGATGCATGGATTGTTTGGCCCCTCCCTATTCCATACTCCCTCGAAAAATGGTAGCATCTATTGTAGAGGCCATGTGACCATGGTTATGAGATAACAGTCTTCTGGTGGACATGTCCAACGTTTATAATAATAACATAGATAGTACATCAAAGGAAGACTTTGCTCCGTCTTGAAAGAGGGTTAGACCCCTAAGAATGACTCGACTTGCCCAGTTGTTTCGCACCTCTATTGCTACCTCAGCTTCGAGATATGGTATTCTCGCAAGTGGCCTAAGGGACGAAGCAAAATTCAGTGACACCCATAAGAGCAATACAGGCAACCTCGATCTCCGGTTATCCGTTTTCACGGGCCTCACCCTTGCGACCTTAAACCATCTCGACGAAGGATCTTAACAAAGGCCAGGAGACCCACCAATTGCATCTCTGTTAGGTTGAAGCCAGACAGGCCTGAGGCCATTTCCTTCCGCTGACCTTCAAGCTGGGAGTGAAACTGCAATCTTCCCTAGACATCACACAGGAAATTTGAGCAACCTTTCACAGCATGATGCCGCAGCAAACGTAATTCATTTTGGCAGATATTATGAGCCCGGTTGCATGCTTCCCCGTGTGTGCACCATTCATGGACGGTGATCATCGGGGAATACGCCGAGTCCAAGAACAACTATCAGCCCGCCAAGCATCAGTCAAACCAAGGGTCCCATATGCGCTGATGGGATATTAGGAGCGACTGCTGTCTCCATTTCTGTGAGCCCAGTCGATATTGTGTATGTCTCCGCTCGTCAAATTTCACATCGACCATCGCAAGTCTTATGCAGTGTAATCCAATACCCGCTCATTACCCTGCCTCGTATTCGAGTGAATGGGCAAAAGGGGGGGAATTCATCTTTCGCATTCCCGAAATCAGAAAGGCGCATGGAAGACTGGGCAGTGAGATGACAACAAAGCTCTCCCCAAAATGGGGTCAAGCAAAATTGTACGACTCTCTGAGAGGACCTCCTTGAAAGCATCCTCGCCGATCCCAAGGCAAATTCACATGTTTCGAGACTGGCATCCAGATGGAAATCCAAGTACAGAGTCAATGCTGACTTGGCCTGACACGACATGCTGGATAGTGTGCGGAGTAAAAACGCCCCTTTTCTATCATATCATCATCCAGGCCGGGTTAATCCATGAATGGGCACTTTCAACCGAACAGCAGCTGGAATACAAATTCCTCGTCGACAGCAGAAGGAACGCCCCAGAAGTACTCCGTACACGGTTGCTCTCAAAGTACTTCAAGAAGTTTGAGTACTTCACGGTACTTGTTAGTTTTGTATATCCATACGTAGTCCGTCAACGTCACGGATTCGATAGAATATGTCGGTTCGACGCTGTCGTCCTCTTTCAAACTTTCCTGAAACATGCCGCAAAGCAACAGATCCGGACAGTCCGGTTCGACTGGCTTGATTGGCAAGCTGGATGCCAGTAATGATGCCATCATGCCGCTCCAGTAGTCTCCCTATGACAAATTCACGACGCCCAATGTGGTTGCCACAGAACAGCCCACCTCACACAGCCTTGCAGATCCAGATTGATTCCACCGTATCAATCGAATGGTCCAGCTTACACGTTAGCCCGAACCTGCAGCCTACGCCTCATCTCGGAATTTCAAGAGGCTGGCTGGACACCGGGGGTATGATGTCGCAAAAAGGGAACAATATGCTGCCCAACATTGCCAGGCTGACAAGTTATCCGTATTAGCCAGGAAATAACCCGTGCCTGCTTCATTTTCCATCTTGCGATGTCGCACTTCCCGCAGCGCATTCGAACGGCTACCTACCTGACATTGCATGAGGATCAACCATTGCAAATTCCCGAACACTCACTGCATGCCATTAATTTGCTGCGTAATCGCAGTTATTGGTCACCTAAACCCATGCTTGGAAATTCTGACTTCGCCCCAGGTAGACCGAAGCCCCCGTCTGAAACCAATGTACTCCCGTGTCAGAGTCTTTGTTAAGGTTTGAAGCGCAGCTGCACGAACATGGTGTGTGACAGCTGAAGATAACTGGTTCAGTCTGATATGCAGGATGAAGTTGAATCACTGGGAATTTCATGAGCAGAGATACTCCATATTCGACTGCAACTTCTGGTGATCCTTGCCAAGTTACCAGAGTGAGGCTTCGATAGAGAATCTTTTCGTTCCGTTTGTTGGCAACAAAACCGGAAGAACAAGGAAGTGTTACGCCGCCGAGAAGTGCAGAACGCAGCAAATCCGAGGCTCCACCGTCAATTTCTGGATACCATCACGGCAGATGCCGGGAGTGGCTTTTCGGCCCTTTTGACCACGAACGAATACGTTTTATGTCCTGAAATGAATAAAAGTCGAGCACATAAACAGCTCGAAAAAAAAGGCGGTCAGATCCATTGAGCCAAAGAGGATGGGAACGGGATAGAAGCACTATCGTTCGTTTCGGCATAAGAAGTCTGGATTGTACTGTCGAAGTGACCATGCAATGCACCATGATGTGGCCCTTGGTCAGGCATTCTCATGAGGCGGTGAAGACGCGCTATTGGAGGGCCTCGAGCGAGTCCAGAACCTAGGCCTCCAAGCCTGAGAGGGCTTATCACATCATCCGAAGCATAAGCCCAAACACGACAAAATCTGCTGCAGTTCTGAAGATATATTGGAAAAGTAGAGAGTACATACCCTTTCGCCAGAGACTCCCATAATTGAAACAGTGTGCTCAAATCCCCCCAAAGATTTGTAGAGAGCAGAGCTCGAATTGGGCACGAATTCTGCATAGATTTTGGCTCCAAAAATTTTTGAGATCGACACTGTAGTCGTTAACTTTGAATGAACGCCTTTCTCGGTGCCATCTAAGAATCGTGTGGGGTTTCATCGAATACGATCGCCTTCACGAACCATGAAGGGCTTGAGCCGAGCCAACTCACGAACCATTGTGGAAAGCTGGAGATAACCATTTTACCCCAAGCAGATGCCATGGAACCCCCTAAAGCCTGAAGTTTGCGTAGCTCGATCCCTCACCAGCAGAATTCCCCGCAAACCTGTGATCCACAGTGACTGGGCCTGGCTGGGCAAAACTAAATTCCATTGACCTGCAGCAGAAAAGTAATGTTCAATTTCACTAATTCTTGCTATCATATTGCCATTGTTTGCCCAACGTCCTTATGACAAAACCTTGCTTGATGCCCTTTTAGCATCTCAAGCATGAAGCGATGTTGCTCGAGCATTTCCCTTTTGTGCAGCCCGCAGCAACTGCCGATCATGTGACCTGCCATCACTCTGACAGCCCAGACGTCAGGCCATGGGCAGCGAGAACAGCTGGCTGAAAGAACCTAGGACCAAGCTGGTGAACAACAATGCCTTCTTTATTGAATCAAATTTGGTGCCAGAGACATTTGCCATGAGGGAGCAGAGCTCACCTCCAGGTGAATGAAGCCTTTGATATCGAGCTGATGATGTGTGAATATATCAAGTTTATGGGATGATCTCACATGTGACTCTTGAGATTACCCAGTGCTCGCTTCTTGTTCAGAGCAGATACAAGGCTGCTTTGCCTCACATCTGTCAATGCAATTTCGCTGAGATGAAGTCAAATCTACTGTTGAAAGCCAACAATCACACAGCTTGCATCTCCGGGTCCCTTTCCTGAGGGGTTTCTTTTCGAACAACGGAAGCTTGTTCCAGGGCTACAGCAAGCCCTCTTTTCTTTGTCCTTAATTTTCTCCTTAAATCGGACTTTGTCTACTTGAGCAAATGCCCTTTCCTTACCAAGCCATCAACAATGGATGCCCTACCAGTGAATGGATAGAGATCTAATGGAGAGCCTGATGCTCAATAAAAGAGAATTACAAATTGTAGTGGCCTTTTGGATGCTGTGATATTTAAAGCTGAAGAGCTCCTGGACTTCCACCTTTATCTTTCCATGCTGCTTTTCGGTTACAGAAAAATTTTCCTTGCCTTTGATTTCCATACTCCAAGTCTATGCTTCTAGGATTACCCATAGTCATAGGCAATCAACTCGAAATTATCTTTAAATAAGTAAAATTTGTTCATTTGACTAGAGCAGGCTATGGCAACCCATCAGCGGGGCCGACAGAGCCCACAGAGCCCGTGGCAGCATGTCCGGCGCGGAAGGGTAAGAGCTCCGCAGTCCGTGTGCCTATGGCACGTTACCATTTCCATGTGTTTCACTAACCAAGATCAGTTGACTGCGATGTTTACCGAATGGCCCTTCGATTGCTGGAGGAGCCCTAACCCGGTGGGCTTTGCAAATGATAGTGGCGTCGCTTGTTATCGGAATTGTATACTAGTGGTACTGATGCATATGCCCGCTTTTGTACAATGGCTCTATCTTCACATTTCGGCTCCTTGTAAAGAAATGGATACGACTTATGGGTGCGTTGCGTGTTACCTAGCCTACCTGGCTAGGAAGTATCGGGAGTACGGTAAAGAGAAAAGTCAAGCCGAATTCAACAGTCTAGCCCGGGACTTTTGGGAGTGCTGTCGAGGGAAGTTCTGGGCTGTGGATGCTACCGCACAGCAAGATTGTGAGGAGTTTTTCTTAGCCCTTATAAATAACTTGATGGCCGAATTTGACATCCCAGGACGGTACGAAGTTGATCCTTAGCTTCCTATGTGATTATGGTGACTGAATACTTTCCAATTGTTATAGGGATGTCCAGCCTTTGACACACATGTTCCAAACGGTGTATAAAGTGCGGACCAAATGCCAGAACTGTGGCATAGTTTCTTATTCTCCAAAGAGCATCGACTACGTTTTGCGCACTTCTCCGCCCGAGACCGGCTCATTAACACTCCATGAAGCCATTGAGAGGACCTTTACTGAACACACTTCAGATTATCATTGCATTGATTGCAGACATACCGGGCCAGCAGTCCGTCGTACAGTCATTAGGGATGCGCCTGAAATTCTCGTCATTCGGGTTAACCGCCACCGCTCTGGGGGAGGCAAGCTAGTAAATAAGATACGATACAATGAGAAATTTGACTTGACCGGCGCTCTTGAACCGTATGCGAGAGATAAGGATAAGGAGCTCTTGAAATATGAGCTCTACAGCACGATTTTCCATGAAGGAAATGACGTCCACGGCGGTCATTACTACGCACATGTGAGAACCCCCGATGATAGATGGGTATATGTGAACGACGAGGATATCGGAGAGTCTTCTGCGAGCGACGCTCTCGGGGATAACACGGAGGGGCACTCTGCCTCAAGTGTGCCATATGTTTTGATCTATATCCGAAAACCTTTCAACTGTCCGGACCCTGTATCCAAGTTGACAACTGACGACAGTTTATTCCACGAAACTTTAGCGACTATCGACGAATCAGCGATAAAGCATATCGAGCAGACGGACCGACCGTCAGGTCAAGACGTGCAAAATCCTGCAAGTCCGAATGACAACAGATCTGAGGCAGATTTAAAGGCGAGTTTTGAGTTCCCAAACCCGGGAGAGGATTCAGATATCGAGGTTGGAAACTCGCCTCCAATTCGTTCTGGCATGCCCGCGCCTGTTGCGACAAAGTGGGAGGGCCAACCGGCAGAGATCACAGTCAAGGTAACTATGGGCGAAATGGTTTTGACGGGAGTATTAAGGGGTATATTAAAAAGAAGCCGCAGGCAAGTCTCTTCTCCTCGCAGAGGTTCGCTTCCGCCGGAAAGGCCACAAGGCGTGACAAAGAGACACAGGTTATCGAAGCAAACCACCAGGAACGCGCAGACAGCGGAGGATGCATCCGGCGATACAACCCCAAAGGCCACTACTCAAACATCTGCAGCAGAGGCTGGTTGTCATCAATAGCTTTTCTTGGGAGTTTGTGGTTGGACGCTGTGTTGGCAATGGATTTTGATTGTTCATGGCAAGGTGTTTCGTGCTTGTTGTTGGTATCAGAAGTTTGACTTTTGGAATATAACTACACCTCGAAAGATTTCACAGTTCCTTGCTGGATTAAATCGTATTGTCTTCGAGGGATAGCGAAATCTGGCTAAATATACCCAATCTTGAAACCTAGCACTAACCTCTTTCTCCGACCTCATGAAACCCCGCCGCCACTTTGTCGTCGTTGACATAGCTACCATAAACCCTTGAACCATGGAATCTGGATATCAGTTTAATACCCTCCCTACCCCATCAGTCTTCCTAACATCAGTCATCCGTGAACTTTCAAGCATTGTTCTGGAGCCAGTATCAACATCTCCTAGCCCTGGTGTCCTACGTGCTCCTCATAATTCGGACTCAGTTCACAACCCACTCTCGTCCCTATCTCCCGAAACACTAGCAAAAGTCGAGCCTATCCTTTTGACACTTCATTGCCTCTTCCCTAATGAATTCCTCTTAGCCTTGGATCTCCTAGACCGGAAACTCATCAGAAAATACCTTCGCACAAACACTTCTACTGCACAAGATACCACACACGGAACGTACTTTGTGCTCTCTTCGTCGACAAGAATAGAGAAACAACCAACTAGAAGCTCAAGTCAGGCACCCCGCTCCCCACCAGGTGCTAGCCAGCAGCATTCAGGAATCGACCTACCGGAAAGGTATTACGAAATCCACCTCCATTCATGGAATTGCACTTGTCCCGCTTTTGCAGTGGCGTCATTCTCGTCTCTGAGCCAGGATACACCAGAGCTGGAGTCTAGTGATCTCAAGGAAGCGGACGGTCATATCACGCAGGACTGGCGATTCGGTGGCTTACTTGCACGGGGAATAACGGGCGGTGGGAGCGGAGATCGATGCTCATCTAGCCCGGCGATATGTAAGCATTTGCTTGCTTGTGCTCTCGCATCCCAGTGCCCGGACCTATTTGCGCATGGAGTCGAACAAATTGCCGTGAATGAAGCGGAAATGGCAGCCCTGTATGCCGGATGAAATTCTTACGAAAAGGCCAATTCTACGCTACAGATATAACCCTTTGTGAGATTATGGGGCGATGATTTGTATTCTGTGACGTCGACAGGCCAGGGTTAACTTACAGTATTCACCTGTAGCCTACGAACTATACATCTCTGGGAGGTGTTTTGAGTTATCAAATACGGAAAACATTGATTTTCTATCCAAGAGCTGTGGCTGGGCAATGTCCCGAGCGTTGAAAAGAACCTAACTTTGAATGGAAAGCCTGAGGCGAGCGCCATTGTAGGGGTGATAGACTGCACTATTTGATCCGCTCGTGGACTAATACGCTCCGGTTGCATTATTGGCGGACAAAATTTTGTGGATATGTCCAATAAATGAAACCATTTGATATCCCCGATACGGGCTCCCAATATCGTTCGCCGTAACACGGACGTCCTATCTAGTCTACAACGGAAAAAAAGAGGCTAACCTGCAAGGTTCAATATCAATAGATGGAGAGAAGGGTATGAACAGGTATACGAACTCCTATCATCCCTTCTTTTTATTCTTCGAGCTGTCGGACTCATCTTTTGACTCGCTATTATTCTTCTTCTTTTCCTCTGTGTTGCCATTTGTCACCGCCTTCTCATCCTTGCCTTCTTCTAATTTCGCCTCTTGCTCCTCTTGTTGCTGCCGATTCTGGATTTTGTTCTCGATCAAATCATGGAAAGCAGTGATCGCGCGGATCAGACTGCTGATATATATCGACATAAGTTGGTCATTGGTCTTCATGTTCATGGCGCGCGCAAGTTCTGTATTCTCAATTTGTGGTTGTTCCGATGCGTTCCCTGACGAGCGTTGTTTGGCCGCTGCAAGGTTGGGGAGGAGGTTGAATATATCCTGAAGATTGCCTAGGATAGCATGATTAACAGGCAGTTCACGATCCAGGACCTTTTGTAGATATTGGCCAATGTCGCGTAACCTTAAGTGCAATCCTTGTAATGACTGAAGCTGAGAAGTGATCCGGGTTGAGAGGGTGCCAACTGCAACGTCACGGATGTCCCTAAGAAGGTGCTCTACACCAATTTCTTCCGCTTCTTCCGCCTCAATTATTGATGGGGTATGAACGAAGGTTTTCGATGTGGTTGTTCCGTCCTAGACACGCACAAATGCACAAACATTAGCCGCTGGATGACCACAAAACAACGGTCCTCCTCACATCTTTGATTTCTTCCACAGCAAAGTATGCGTCAGTGGGCACGCCAACTTCCTTTGGCTGTACGTCAATGATTACTAGTAAGGGATTCGGCGTGTATCGTTTGAACAGCTCATTGACCTCTAGGTCAGATGCCCTCAACTTGGGGCCAGAATGGTACCATCCAATAAGCTTTTCCCGTGCATTAATCTTTTTAAACATATCATTCATCGACTCCACAAAATTATGATCTAAGAACCAAACAGATGGATCTTTGTCGTCTTCTTCAAATGGCACTAAATATAACAAATACGTCAGCACCGGGAACATCACGGAATTTCTACTTCAACATTCGGAGAGCGCTGCGTACCCGCAAAACTGTTTGATACCCGAACATTCTTGCCATCATTCTGCCCTAGCAAAACACCAACTACTCGTCTTCGGGTGCCCTTCGCTGTCCGTCCGTAATGATCTGCGACTGAAAGAAGGACAAGGGGAGCAACAGAGACGGTACGAGTCACTAAGGAGAGGGTGTCGGCGGTGGTGGCCGGCATGGTGAAAGGGGATCAAATGAATACCAGCTCCTGAAAATAATTCGATGGTCGGTATTCAAAGAAGTTGCTGTCTGCTTGGGCTGCTGAGGGAGGTTGTAGCCCGGTTGGAGCTGATGATGCATGGCCGATTTGATAACTAACTAGTTAACTAAGTTAAATAGTTAGCTCCAGCCTGGAGCGACTGACTAAGCAGACGCCAAGACATATCCAAGCTAAATCATGTGGTTTCTCTTGGCGGTTCGATCACTAATATTCCCCTGTCGAGTTCGCGCGTTTGTGTGGGAGAAGCAAAGTTTGCGAGGGACAATGTCATCGTAGGATACGGAATGCGGGCCAATATTCGGGAATTTCGAAGAGAAAAGAGCTCTCTAGTATGGTTTGGCCTGGTATTGTCGTAGCACCGTAGACCGGCTTCACAACATGGATGGCTGTAACCGGCGCATTCTTCAACTTCCCCAACCCTTTCTGCTCGAAGGAGATTACTTTATCGTATCAAACCCTGCTTTTAATAGCAGATCCTTCATAATTGGTTGCATGGTGTCAGGGACTCAAAGACATCGCGTCTCTCTCGGCAATAAGGCGCGCAGATCCACCGCCATCGCTCAGCGTCAACCGTGTCCACTTGGTTTTCTGGAAACCACCTCGGCCCTGCGGCAGCTTTGGCTCCAAGAAACCTTCCACAGATTTTCCAACCTCACGTCTTTTCTTCCGCAGACCAGACCACCAGCCATTCTCTCTCTCCACTCCCTTCTCTCTCTTCCCCTCCATTTCGCTCCGCTTCATCCCTCATCCTTTCTTCCAATTTCCCCGTTTGCCAGCCCCCCATCAGTCGCTTTCACGTAATGGCACCAACCAAAGATGAAACCGTTGATAGCCTGAAGAGCATCGTCCGCGACCTTGAAGCTCGTGTTGTCCAATTGGAGCAGAAGCTCGTCCATGGAGAGGGTAGCTCGAAGGTCAATTCGCTCGCCGATGGTATGCGAATGGTGTTGATGGGTCCTCCTGGTGCCGGTAACGCTCCTTCGAAACACTGACGTTGTGCCGTGGACCGCAACTAACTCAATGGCAACTTAGGAAAGGGAACACAGGCACCCAAGATCAAGGATAAATACTGCATATGCCACCTCGTTCGTTCCAGTACCCAATTGACCTTAATTGCTGGAGATATACCTAACCGAACAATCATGCAATGATCCCATAGGCAACTGGTGATATGCTCCGATCCCAAGTCCAGAAACAGACGGAGTTGGGAAAACAAGCCAAGAAGATCATGGATCAGGGAGGGCTTGTCAGTGATGACATTATGGTGAACATGATCAAGCACGAGCTTGAGACAAACCAGGAATGTCGCAACGGGTAGGGCGGACCAAAACTCGAGACATTGAGATTAACAGAATTTTACTAACCCGATAAACTTATAGCTTCATTTTGGATGGTTTCCCACGCACGGTTAAACAAGCTGAAAAGTTAGACGAGATGCTTAACGCTCGTCACCAGAAGCTTCAGCACGCTGTCGAGCTCCGGATCGACGATGAGCTCCTTGTGTCCAGGATAACAGGGCGGTTGATTCACCCCGCTTCCGGCAGATCCTACCACAAAATATTCAACCCTCCAAAAGTCCCAATGACTGACGACATCACTGGCGAACCCCTGATTCAGCGCTCAGATGACAACGTCGAGGCATTGAAGAAACGCTTAGTTACATACCATTCCCAAACCGCCCCTGTCGTCGGCTATTACAAGTCTACCGGTATCTGGAAGGGAATCGATGCCAGCCAAGAGCCTGGCCAGGTATGGAAGAGTCTTTTGCAAGTCTTTGAAAAGAAATGATCCAGTGGATTCCTTGACAACGTGGGGTTGTTAACCCAGATTTATGACCTTTGTCTTTTTGATTCCGTGCCCAATCTCCAGGGACTGATACCAGATTCTGTTGGAGGATTAGATATGTCTTCATGATTGTTCTTGTGGAAACATTCTATTTCTACGTTTTTGTTGTGTGATAGGCAAGCAACTTGTATGCATATAGACTCCAAGTTCTGTGAGTTGTGGATACAATTACCCGTTTTCTACGCCTGGCAATCAGTGGCTTCTGGAAATGTCCAGTTTGGCCATTTCTTCTCTGTTTCTGGTGTTCCCTAGGCATTGTTCAGACGAGATCCAGTATAGTAATACGCAATTTCGTCGGATGACTGAAAGATTACCCGTGTGCCCTAGGAATTAGCCCCGGTTTTCTATTCACTGGACGCTCTTTTACTGCTCACTATCCCTTTAAGAACCATGTGCTAGAAGGCTCGGCCTTAAAGGAACGCATGATCTTTTCCCTGAGCTCTGAGATAAATTCTTCTCTTACTGTCAACTTCTCTCACTTGCCAACAACCTTCCTCCTTATATCAAGCTTCTCCTTTCCTTCTTGCACTATATTCAAAAGGCTCTTCTTCAGCTTGAAAGTCTAGATCTCCATACAAAATGTGCCTCAACAGCATTCTTTGCTGCTTTGGCAAGAAAGAAAGGCCCCAGTTGGGGCATACCAGACAGATCAGTGGTCCAGTTTTGTGAGTTCTAGCAGTGTCCTCAGCACAGTTACTTCCTTCAAGATACAGATCATGGCCACTAACCTGGATCTTCCTTCTCTAGAGACTATACCACAGCGAATGTTGAAAGAATGAGGTTAAGATGTAAGTTAGAGGGTTATATTCGTCCCAATCACAGGTAGTTCCAACACGGGCAGCTTACGTGGTTCATGTGTGCTTTGTTCTCTTCTAACAGCCTTCCATTGTCTTTTGAGATATGTTCGAGAACTGTTTGTAAATCACCTATCAATGAAGCATCACGTGCTTCTAGGCTGCTTTTCCCCTTGGCCTGGCTAACAGACTGATTTTCTTTGATATTTATAGCAATCAATCTTCCACAAGCTCCAGAAGGGACCCCAGTGCGCCGGCAGAGCCTTCCGGCCGACGTCAAGGCCCAAATCGCCGAGTTTACTCGGCCAGAGGTGAGACCGCCCGTTTATCCTTATGCTTCCAGTCGTTGGGCGCCCTAAACCTCCTTAACTCCGCTCCTTCAAACATGGAGATCTAAGTAAGCTAACTAATGCATTCCTACCGCAGGTCAAGGCAACCTCTTCTGCTCCCCAGGCAGCTAACTCGGAAGCGGAGAGCCACCAGCAAGCAGCTCCTGAGGCTACCACGGCTGCTTCAACCCCTGCCTTGCGACCCAAATTTTCTTTTGAATATAGGGAGGACGAAATCTGATTCGGTTCTCTTTTCTTCCCTTTTTCTTTTACCCTTTTCAACTTCCTTCAAATAAGCATACATCGAAACTTCTCTTTGTATGCTTTTTCCTTAGAGTACCTTGCGGTCGGCCTTCCTGCGCGTTCCACTATTTCCTGAAGACAGTTATGTCCCTTTGTCCCCCTTTGTACGTACCTTGCAACGAAGAGCCCTAAGGGCAATATGGAATCTTCTGCTCCCTTCCACGTAAGGCTTTGCGTTTCTTTTGGTCTTGGGGGTGTTAATTCTCTGAGTACCCCCAAAGTCCTCCTCCTAACATTAAGTGTATTCCTCGAATGGCTTCAGGGTAGCTACCCTGCCTTGGACTGGCGCCCTCTTCCGCCGGACTCCCCAAAATATTTCTCCTGTCAAGTGAGGCCCTAATTTGCGGCTGAATTGGCTTTGGACAACCTGGAATTAAATGAAAGTTATATTTCAGGAATCAAAAGAAACTGGTATCTAGACGTCAAATTTTGTATTCGACAAGGTTGCACGTAATCGTACGTTCGCCATAGCGGGGTTGAAATAATACGGATGTTCCTACGGATGTTTCTGAAATCTTCTATTTTCTCAGCCGAATTCGCCGATTTTTGTTATAACCAAATTTTTGTTACGGGTCTCAATAATTAGCAGAGCACTTTCCAGGCCTACGTTATGGTCTCAAGCACGGCTGAGTCGTAGCCGGTGCTCTTGAGTACTACATCCAGGTACAAAGCGATGGACCAGATGAGGAATAGCTTAGGCAATATGATGCCACGCTGGACTGGTAGCATGGGGCATTCTGCCTTGTGAGATGTGTGATGGTATGCTTCTCTAAAGGTCGTTTGGGAAGTGAGCGTGCTTGCTGGAGTGTTCTAGGAAGACGAGCAAGCTCTACAACATGATCAATGGTTTCAGAAGCAATTGCAGTGGTTAGCTTCAGAACGCGACGATGAAAGTGGTAGAAATACCAATGAAGCCGCAGTATGTTCCCAACCGCTGTAAACTATTATTTTATTAGCCAAGCTCCTGATTGGATTGTTGCAATCATATCTCCCATACCATTTGGCCAGCTGAAAGGGCAAATCCATGAAACTCAGGCACTGGCACAGAAGGAAAATTCTCCTTCAACTAGGTGTAAGTGCTAGCTTCACATTGTATCTTTGCGTCCGCATTTGCCTGGCAAAATTGTTCACTAACTCAATGCAATATCAGAGATTGAATCAAGGTTTAGTAGTGACTAAACAAATGAGGATGGGGATGCAAACAATAAAGCTTCCATTCGGGGGCCAACATTTCAAATCTTCAAGTTTGCATTGTTCCACGGGGTATACTCAAGTGATATGCTGCAGCTTGTCTGGATGAGAGCTGAATGCGTAAGAAGGCAAGCAAAGAATCTGATAGTCTTGTTACGGTCTTTGAGGGCAATGAGAACATCAGTCTCTTTGTTTTTTTTTTTCGGCTTTGCCCAGCAGCCCAGGAGTAAGTCATGTCATCCTGCTTCAGCTGCTGAATCTAGACCAGACTTGCAGATATGTGTAGACAAGTATTAGATTATTACATACCTGTTAATTTTTATTAACAGCATCGGACACATAGCATATTGATTAGAGAATGAAAATTTGACATCCTGTAAGGTTGTTGCCCTGAAGCAAAATAAACTCACTGCTCTTTCCCACAAAATTGTTCTGGGATTTTAGGTTGATATGCCAGGACTTGGAGCAAAAAGATTTTGATGCTTTGTACCAGGGGAAAACACTAGACAATAGCAGGCTTATAAGGAGTACCACAGGCTTCTCCCTGACTCTCTAAGCCCACTGATCGGCAAAAATCTTTTAGGCACGGGGTCTGCCTAGGGCGCCCGGGGCCTCCGGCGCTAAAAAAGGGTGCCTGTAAATTGGCCACTCTTGCCTATTTTCAGGTCAGCGGCGCCGGGATCTTATGCTGGTGCCCCGGGCGGGCCCCGAGCTTAAAAGATTTTTGCCGATCTGAGTCACCTACTAAGACGAGGCACTAACTAGCATGATTCTCTGCTTCAATACTCCGTAGATATCTGTAGAGATAGGAAATTAATCATAATAAACAAGTTCATCAACTTGCGTTCTTATATATATGATACAAGTTGATGACTGTTTGATCTTATTTCATGCTGATCTGCTTCAGTGTATTCTTGAGTCTAATTACTGGTCTGCCTTTAGGAGCACACTGCATAATTAAATGCAGGAACACAGCAAGAGATTTACCTACAAATATTACCTGAACAAGGCAGGGTATTATGATCTGAGAAGCAAGAACACTCATGCTGTGGATTTAACCTTTTCTTAAGGATTTGATGGGAGTGTCTTGACTGACTCCTGCCCCAGCTGGCAGCATCATATCATGCTTCATTTTGGAGATGATATCAAATCCACTGCAGGGGCTGAGCTCCTTGTCTTGAACTATGGTGCACTCACTGGCTATGTGTATGAGGTCTTGATGCCCGAGCTGGTTATGCTGGTCAAGAAAGACATGGGAGTTGACAACAAGCAAGCCTGCCAGATCCTGGTGGAAAGTGACAAGATAGGGGAGCCTTTGCTCAATGGTGTCTAATCCTGATATTCTTGAGAGTATTTGAATATAGCCTGAAAGCATGAAACCATATACAAGCAAACGTATAGATACCACACCCTGGTAGACTTAGTGAAAGCATCCAGCCCGTCGAATTATCATCAGATACTTAACCATAGTAAGGATACTATTCGTCATCATGCCACATAAAAGTAAAAATAAGTTAAATAGTAATTCAAAGCTACAATTAATCAGATTGCTTCCTCCCATTCTGAGCATTTAGGATAATGACCGCTGTCTGGCTGAAAAGCGGGGAGGCCGCTCCCATTCTGTCAACTGAAGCTGTTGACGACGAACGTGGATTGTAGACAGCAGCACGTCGCGGCCAGGAGAACTCGGCCAAACTGTTCAGAAAACACCAAACTGAGAATTTATTTACAATTTGCTCTTGTGAAAGAAGTGGGAATTTGGTCCAATGCCCGTGGATGCTGATGTTATTATATGTAAAAGTAGCCTTTGTATCCTATAATACTGGTACTCTTCTTAAGCCACTCGCCCCCAGCGACTCCAAGGCGTAGAGATCTGGTAATTATACCGTAAAAGGGGGCCCTAGTTGCTGATGGCACTAAAAAACGGGGCAGGCGACTCCAACTTCCACATCCTGCTTGATGAAGAGGTCTAGATCTTGGTCCTTGTAGATCTCTTCAAGGCCTTCTGAAGGAAGAACTAGCCACACAGGCAACAAGCACAAGGGCTAACCATATGCACCAACCGCGCCACCTAGCCAACCACCCAATCTCAACTTCATTATACGGCCGAGTTCTGTGGACCCATCCTCTTGTACACCTGTCTCCTCCATATCCCGCAGAATGTTATCAATATATTCCCCTACCCCAGAGAGGTGAAGGATATGAGCAATAGCATGGTGTATGGCAAGGAGCCGGGGTGAAGGGGGTTCTATTGATCGGTCATTAGTGAGATAAAATGTGCGAGTAACAGGGAGATCTTGTAAAATTCCGGGGGGGGAGAAAAGTATTGATTTGGTAGGTATGCGCCTGGCCAGGAACAGCTTCAAAGAAAACAGCAAAATTGCCAAAATGGGTGTGGAGATCACGAGTAAGACTCATAGCGTTAAATGGCCGGTCAATATTGTTACCATCCATAAGATGTGAAACATTGCAATCAAACATGTTGAGAATCATGAGTGCTGCTTTTTTGGAATCATCCTAAGCATGTCATTTAGCCCAGGGAAAGATTCTCTTTGACAAGGTGGCTTACTAATAGACAATTTGCATTTGCTTGTGTCAGAGAATGTGGGAGTATATGGGCCACTTCTAAAATCATGGATAACTGTCCCCGAAGCAGGTTCCCTTCATCATCTTGGGCATTATTGCCATCTTGTGTCAAACGAATTATTGCCTCCTGCTGATCAAATTTGCGCGAGATCACACAGCGATGGCGGTCACGGACAAGGCAAGAACCTCGAAGGACTGATATTCGGTCAGGTGTCCCAGTAAATTCATGTATTCCTCCTTGTGCTCTTTGGATGGCTGAAAGATGTGCAGGGGAGGGCTGTGGAGTGTGCCGGCCAGAAGCTTTGACTGTAAAAAGGTTAGCAGATGTCTGACAGGGCAGTGGATAGGGGCCAGACGTGGTAGAAAGAAGTTATCTAGCAGGAAGTCTGCAAATGTGATCAAGTTCTTGCCCAGTTGATTCTCCACGTCTTCATCAAGAAAGTCAATATCTTCTTCCCCAGCGACATCTAGCTTCATAAATTCGAAGAAGGCGCGTAGAAATGTATCTTGTGATAACTCAGAGCGCGAGTATTCATAGGTATAGCGGACAAATCGAGGGCGCCTGTATCCAACCCTTTTGTCATTATCTGTTGTGTCGAAATGGTTAATAATATCATAAAATCTGCGCCGAGCCCCAGCCCGTTCATCCACTGCGAAGGGTTTAGGGCCGGAAAAATTGATGATGCCCTCAAGGGATGACTGATGGCGACGCTGGGGTAATAGGGGTGTCATTTCTTTGTATGTTGCTGTGAAAAAGGAATAAGAATCGCGCCCCGTGAGAGGCTTATTCTCGAGGGTTGCATTAGAACTGATTCTTTCCCTTCCCAAGCACGTTTGCCAGCAAACATGAGCAGAAAAGAGAGAGCATGGATGGATCGCAGCAAGTTACGGTAAACTGTGGTCACATGACCAACATTTGCGTACTGTGTTAGGTAATCCAGCTCGTAGACAAAATCCCCCCTTTAGGTAGCTTAGCGAATGACAACCATACGAGTCCTCCACCAGGGCAATATAAGTATAAACTTCATATACTCCGTAGAATCTTCATTATTTCATGTTGGGATTGGACTGGTGAATTAGTTGCATTGTAAGGCACTATATGGAGTACTCCGTATGTACTCCATACTCCACACTCCGTGTTAGGGGAGGCTCGCTAACGAGGTTAGGAGCTCCGGGGCCGAATCTTTGGTGGTAGTTTTTGTTTTTGGGGGGTTGAATTAGGTTGTTAATAGCACACACGGCATATGCATTTATTTTGACACACATCTGAAAGCCAAACAGTGCAAAATGTCATTCAGGTACATATTAACCACCATAATTTCCAGCTGGGAGAAGGGTAAGGCATAAGAGGCGAAGAAAAGGCGTACATACATATATACATGTAAAGATGCCAGCTGTCATCCTAGACCTATGCAAACACAGCTCCAACCTCTCAAAGTTGCAGTGGATACTGCGTTGACTCAATTTTTTCCGGGTACGCCAACCCTCCCTGCCTCCGCACCTCATCCATGACCTCCATAATCACCAAACTCTCTGATAAAGGCATGGTTTCGCTTTCCAGCTTTCCATCCCTCAGACATCTAGCCACTTCATCAGCTTCCCAGTACATTCCCCGTCCATTCCCTGGGAACACAGCGTCAACCTGTTTCACAGCTTTCACAAGCTGACCTACAATCTTTCGTGGTATAATCTTATATCTTTTGGGATGGTAAGGATCGCCATAGACTTGGATCTCACCATTTGTGCCTTGAATACGGACTGACGGGCCTGCAGTGCCTTCTTCATCTGGGTCAATGGACACGCGGATGCTCGTCATGGCAACGGCATGGCTTTTGAGTTTCCCTGATGGTGTGGACCGGGGGAACTCAAGTAAAATAGACGTAGATTCATCGGCTCCGGTAGCGGGGTGCTTGGTGATTTGAGAGGATATCGCAGAAGGAGCAGCGCGGTCTGACGGTGGGAGTGTATGGTAGAGAATCTGGAAAGCCCAGGTTAATGAGTAGATACCCACTGTAGAGCACACATTAGCCTAAAGCGCTGACTTCAGAGAGAGAAGCCTGAGCAGAAGAAGAGATGCTCAACACTCACGATCAAGTAGTGCACCACCTGCAAGATTTATGTTAACCATCCTATGATCCAGACTCCAATCCTTCTCTAAATCACTCCCTGCGCTCGTATCCGCTATCACTCTCAGCACCTCCCCAATCTCCCCTCTCTTCACCAGCTCCCTAATCTCCACACAAAGTGGGAAATACCTTGTCCACACCGCTTCCATCAGAAACAGCTCTTTCTTCCTTGCCGTTTCCACCAAGATCTTCGCCTGAGCCGCATTCACCGTGAACGCTTTCTCACAAAGGACATGTTTCCCATGCTCCAGGGCAAGCATGGCATTCTGAAAATGATGGGAGTGGGGAGTTGCGACGTAGACGACATCGACGCACGGGTCTTTGACCAATTCTTCGTAGGATCCATATGCAGCGCAGGGAGCGGGCAGTCCGAGTTCGGCGATGAACTGCTCCGCGCGCGCTTTGGACGTAGATGATGCTACGGCGCTAACTGTGTGGGAAATGTCTCCTGAGCTGCGGAGAGCGGGGTCGATGAGGAGGTCGCGCGTGAATTCTGTTCGGCCATCCAGTTAGATCGAGGGCCTGGGTATGGGATTTGGGAGTTTCGAGGGACATGTAAAGTCCAAAGAAGATCGGGCCATACTTTTGACAATACCACCCGTCGCTGTGCATGTCATCAGCCTGATACTTGACGCAAGGAATCTAGGGATGAAGACGCGCCTCACCCATCATTCCCCAACGTAGCTTATACGGTTCCGCCATCATGAATATGGAGCTATGAATATGAAATTTCAAGTGACCTGGGTTAAAAAAGAGTGTGAAGACTTCCCGTAAGTCAAATAACTAATCGAATCAAATTGATTATATACTGGTTCTATGTCCCATTGATGATAGAGATGAGGGGTTTCCACAACAGAGTTACATCGGATAAGTAAACCAACGCTGCGCGACACGCAATACGGAGTAGATAAGCTCAAATGACCAAAAGCTAGAATAACCTCGAACAACAAGTGATACAAAGTAACCAAATGCATGCCATTTGAATGTCTAAGGCTCTCGGCTAAATAGTACATGATGCAGTAAAAATAACAGGGTCCTCCGCCGTGAACATATCACTCGGCGTGTTTGGTCTCCATGCCGAATTGTAGGAGTCTATGGTTGGACGGACATGGTCACTTAAGCGTTGAGATGATAAGCTACGTAAACTTGACTTGTCAAGAAACCGGTTCCGTTTTTATTCTAACATTAGATCCAGGAGAGTCAATGTCCTGTCAAAGTGTTAGTACGAACGACGTCAAAATCCAAGAGAGTACCTCAGCAACATCGTACCTCTGCCTTGCGTTTCCCTAAAACAGAATCGGGAGTGGATGTCCGCCCAACTGGGGTTAGTGAGCCGGGAGGAGCAGCAGCTCCATCCTTTGTGAGCTCTGAATAACAACTGGCATGATATACACGACTACCCACTTTAATCGCATCCCTCCATATCCAATCCTGCGCTTCTTCCGACCACGTTGACTCAAAATGCTCCTGACAAATTGGACACGGGGTATTTCGCAGCGCTGCGTCGTTTGGTGCATGAATCCATCGTTGCTGGGGGGCCTGTTTCGTTGCTCCATCCTGGCCTGTTGATTTACCGGCCGAAGTAGATGCGGCATCGGTTAAATCGACATCATCATCATAGTCGCGGGATTTAATCCAGTCCTACGGTTTGTAAGTAGTTATCCCAAAAAAAAAAAAAAAAAAAAAAAAAAAAAAAAGGAAAGGGCAATAAAGGTCCATGGGATACCTACTCTCTCATCTACGTACCAACTACGACTTTGGCCACGTTTGGATGCTTCGTTCATGCGTAGATTGGTTTTGAAATGCCAGTCCAAATGCCGAGCTTTCTTCTCCTTCCCTTCATCATTAGCCGCAAAACGACGCCCACACGTTCCGCAACGATTTGATTTTTCTTCATAGAGGCGGAAAATAAGATTTGGGCGGGGCCTATATGCAAGAGTTAATAATTATACGATAAGGAATAACCAACAAAATAACTTACACTTTGATAGATGCCGAGCTCATTTGCACATTAATTTTGATATTTGTTTGAGTAGGAGTCGGTAATTGTGGAGTTGTGCTTGGGGTATATCCGTTTTGACCAGGAAGAATGAATGGAAGACTGGGGGCTGGCTGGGATGCAGGAGCACCGGGCGCCGGTGGAAGAAGGCCGCGTGCTCTAAGGGAGGCAATTAAGGGGTTTTCACTGAGCGCCGGAGTTGCGGTTGTGGGTGTACTAGATGTACTGACAAGGGTTTGTTGAGAAAATACTTGAGCCTGAGGTGGTGGAGGAGTACGACTTTGGGGATTTGCGGTGGCTTTAATAAGCTCTGCCAGAGTATTTGGGTGTAATAGGGCCTGGATATTTGGTTGAGGAGTATGAGTCGCCAGGAGCGGCGGTGTTGGGACAGCTGATGTGGTAATCGGCGGAAGGGGTAAGGCAGCTGGAGTTATGGGTGCTGCTGGTGCCGATGCTGAAAGTTTGGAGACCTGATCGCGAATAAGTTTTAGTTGCTCTTGTGGTAGCTTTTGTTGCTGGAGAATGCTTTGTAGATCTAAAAGCGCCTTAAGCCGCTGTTGGACAGCGGTATCAAGAGGCTTGTTAGCAAAGTCGCTCCGTGCGCTCAAGATCAAGTTGTCGATATCGCGATGCAAAGAAGCCAGATCAACACCCTCTGAATACGACTGGCTGTACGGGTATTGTTGCTGTGCAGCTGGAGGATACTGAGGGGGAGCAGTTTGTGCGTATCTCGCTTGGTATGGATCCGACTATTGAGTGTAAGAATTAGGATATTAACGGAAATAGCAGTGGGATCACTTACATGAATCTGACCGTTAGCATGCTGTGGCTGACCGGAAGACGACGTATATTGAGCTGCAGTTTGGGGTAGGGTGGCAGCTTGCTTCCATGCCGGAGGAGGAGTAGCAACCCCACGGGTACGGCTGCGAATCTCCTGCTGCTGTCTTGCCTGTTGTTGCTGAAGGGCCGCTGTCCTTGCTTTAATCAGAGCGTTCTCGATAGTGCGGGTGATTTCAACAGGAAACACAGGCCTGGAGTCCAAGGACCCTGGAACAGGTTCCTTCCACGTCTTTAACATCTCGTCTAGTTTTTTCCGAGTCTGGGAATCGACAAGGGTATACGCATTCATGAAAGTCTGGTAGAGGTTGCGTCCTAAGAATAAAGTGTAGGGAGTCCCTACGTTCTTGACGACCGAGTCAACTACGTAAAGAGCCGGTAGCTTTTGCGAAGGGGGGGTCTACAGAAACAAATTAGACAACGATCCCGCAAAATATAAGCGTCTACAAATCTGACGACATATAGGCAAAAGCCATGGAAACGCAAAGAGAAAAAAGCCCGACAAATAGAGTTTAACGGAAAGGAAGATTTTGACCTACTGTCCGTATATGATTTTCCAGGACCCTGGATATGGCCATCGCATGTTCAGTGTTTTCCTTAGCAATGACAGTTAAATTGCTAATCTGGAATTTGTCGTTCGTCGTCAGGTCTTCAAGGGAGTTCTTGTAGTCCTCAGCGACTTCATCCGAGGCGAGTCCAGACATACCGGGCAGTAGATTTACTGCGGGAAATTGGAATGCGACAGACGGAGGCGAGCGCCGTCGAGATATTAGGCTGAAGAGTTAAAAAAAAAAAAAAGGGAGGAAAATGAAAAGACAAGGGAGAGAGGGTGAGGTCTGATTATTCTCTTGCAGAGTGAAATTCTGGAGTAAGTAGCTTCCTGTGTTGCCAGGAGTATAAGTCAATGATATGTTTCTTTGTTTGACTGTCTTCTGTCTCTCTCCCTCCTCGCGGAGATAAATCTCTGATTTGAGTGAGCAATAGAAGAAGAAACACAAAAAACAGTATGCAAAAAATTTTGTTCTTTGCTAGCTATTATTCGCAGAGACTGGTCATAGAACAGAACCCGTGCGATATCCCACGAATTCACTCCCAAAGCACCTTGTATTCCTCAGCCTATCGCAAAACCAAAAATCAAAACACTTCCCCCGTTCTACGTATTCCCTTCAAGCGGCGTATGCTGACTAGTCTAGGCCGGGAGATGCGGGATTATTATCTGATCTCACTCTGAGACTGGCAAAGGATGACACGTGCGAGGTGGTTTGGATGGTGGCGGGCTGGTTTCGAAGGAGACCAGGAAAAAAAAGCAAAATCGAATAGAACAGGCGTCTAAGGAAGCAAGACGTTCATCTAGGCATTAAGAAGAGAACAAGTGTGGTGAAAAGAAAACAGAGGGCAGGGGCAGGAGTCGTGGTGTGAGGTTGACGATGGCAGTGGAAGGCGAAGAGGTTTTGGCGTCGGATTCTTATGTAAAACCAGGCCATACTGCGCCACTAACTAACCTAGTTAGTTAGCACGGTGCTTAGTTGGCCGTCTGACTAAGCAGAGCCAAGTGTGGCGGCCGGCTCCCGGAATCACATGACGTGGCTTTCCAGGTTCGGGATCGGAAGGCCGTCTCGATGTTACATTTCGCTGGGACTGGCGTATGGGCGTATCTGGCGATGACGATGGTCCCATGGGCGAGTGTGCCACTTGTTTAGCAACCTCCCGCATCCTTGCTGCAAGGTCATCAGTAAAGAAGTATATAAAGGAAGAGAGGACTGCCAGGCACACGCTTAACTGTCCCCCCCTACTCTTCACCCTTTCACGCAGTCCTTGAGTGATTACAAATTCAAACGCACCAAGTTTTCGATCCTTTGGAGTGCCTGATCTGACAACGCATTTAACTTCCACGCAACCCCGCGTTGAGCGCAACACATCTCCAAGTTAACCTGTTCCACAGCATGAAAGTGACACTCACTGTCATCTTTAGCTTTCTCTTCTCAGCTGCTATGGCCGCCTCCGCTCAACACAAGTCCGTCATCATCACGTTCCCTTCAGAAACGCCTGACTCGGTGGTTCAACAGGCAAAGGATGCGATCAAGGCAAACGTATGCTAGGCAGTCAAATCCTCCAGTTGTACTACCACGAGAACTAACCCCTCCATTTGTCAACAGGGTGGCAAAATTACCCATGAATACAGTAAGTTGCAACCACGCCATTAATTCATCAGCGACCTTTTGCTAACTTATGGCTCTGTATAGATTTGATCAAGTATGCATTACCCCATTTTTCGCTCACCATATGAGTGTGATCCTCACCGTCCTTATCTGCAGAGGATTTGCGGCCGAAGCGCCGTCGGTTGCCATGGATGCTGTTAGTGCTCTTGGGACAGAATACCCCCCCGTCATTGAGGACGATCAGATTGTCACCATAAACCAACCGGCTACGAATTGATGTCTTGATGAGATGGGGACAATCCTCTACGTCCGATCCGAGATGAATGGATTCTTTATGGACTAGTGGCTCTTTGTGTGTATTCCTGGCCAAAGTGAACGCTTTATGGGGATACTCAGGGGGAAGTGGATTCGAAGGATCGTTTCAGAATCTACTTATAATCATACTTTGAATGTCATGAATTCTATTGGCAATGTCTTCTCATGTGGAGCGGTCTACTCCGTACATATGGGAGATCCTATTTCGCTCTTTAAAAACAAGGAACCTGTTTCGATATACTCCGTACAAGAAGTTCAATTTAGTACTTAAACTTACATAGTGAATCAACTATGGACTGATACTCATTGCCGGAACAAAGCGATCAAAGCCGGTTACTGGTACGCTGGCAATTAGAGATATCAGAATTGCTTCCAGCTCCATATGATAGAACCCCTGTTCATTGGAGGAATAAGGATGCCAGTTCATCCATTTGCTCCATCAAGGCCTCCAAGGTTCGCACGTGGATGGCTAAAGGCCAATTTTACTAACGAGAAAAAGTTGTCGGGATCCGAAGCTTAGATTTGGTTAAAGTACAGAGGATGCCCAACTTCAAACTTCCAGGGCTTATGGGCGGACCAAGGTAAGTCTTATCGTTTGCCAGCTTTCAAAGCGCTGGTCAGGGTGACCCTTTTCTGGTTGATGGGAACGAAGGCCTTCAGGCAACACTAATTCGTTAGCACCAAGAAGCGCCAAGACGATATTTCAGGGGAAGCCTTCTCGGCTCTGACACGCTAAAATGTTTCGTTCAAATTTCTGGAATCTCGGAAGGGAGCTCTCAAACTCGCGTTGGGCCAGGAATTTCTCGTCGGCCCATTTCAGCGTCTTGTGGCGCGTTTCAATCGTCCACAACCATGGCCAGACAGAAACCCAAGTATGAATTCGGGGGCCCGTAAGTCGTCCCTCAATTCAGTCATCAACTGCTAGGGCATTGCTAACAAGGGGTAACTCGTTGCTTAGTCCAGGGGCCACTGCTATCGTCCTTGGCCTTCCAGTGCTGATGAATTTTCTCTATTTCACCTGCAATGATGTGACCGGCTGTCCAGCACCAGCTCTTCTAGATATCCGCACTCTTACCTGGGAAAGCTTAAAGTCGCAAATCCCGTGGCCACGGGATGGCATCTTGGGTTTCGCGAGCTGGAAAGCTACAAAGTGGACGCTAGCTTATTATCTGCTCAGCTTGGTCCTGTATCGGGTGCTTCCGGCTCAGGAGGTATACGGGACCAAATTGCGCGAGTCTGGCCGTCCGCTTAAATACCGCTTCAATGGTAGGTTATCCCGAGAGCGATATCGCAGTTTACCAGGGCTAACGGCGTCTTACAGCTTTCTATGCCACCATTGTCCAATTGGCCGCATGCGCGGTCGGCACCTACCTCTATGGTGCGAACTTCGTCGTTTGGACATTCATCACCGACAACTACTTGCAAATTCTGACCGCTAATATCATCATCGCCTATGTCCTTTCGGTGTACGTCTACATTGGTAGTTTTGGTGTGAAACCTGGTAACAGCGAGATGCGAGAACTTGCCAGGGGAGGCCACACTGGAAATATGATCTACGATTTTTACATTGGACGTGAACTAAATCCCCGAATCACGCTCCCCTTCATTGGCGAAGTTGATCTCAAGGCCTGGTTCGAGATGCGTCCCGGTCTGACCGGTTGGGCGTTACTCAACCTAGCCTTCGTTGCTAAGCAATACCGTACGTACGGCTACGTAACCGACAGCATCTTTATCATAACGGCGGTGCAGGGCTATTACGTACTCGAGGGTCAGTATGCGGAAACAGGCATTCTGGGCATGATGGACATCACCACGGACGGACTAGGATTTATGCTCAGTTTCGGGGATATCGTTTGGGTGCCGTTCTTGTACTCGACCCAGTGTCGCTATCTCTCAGTCTACCCGGTACAACTGGGGTGGATGGGACTCGTCGCAGTTAGTACTGTGTTCGCCATCGGCCTGTATATCTTCCGCGCCGCCAACGGCCAGAAAAACACCTTTCGCACTAATCCCAATCACCCTAGCGTCGCGGGCATGTCGTACATACAAACAAAGAGAGGCACAAGGCTACTCACTGCCGGATGGTGGGGAGTCGCACGGCATATTAATTACTTTGGGGACTGGACGCAGTCATTGCCTTTTAGTCTCCCGACAGCTTTTGCGGGCTACCTCATTTTTCCAGCCAATAGCCACGTTGCAGATGTGGGTGTCACTAAGATGCTCGATGGCCGGGAGGTGATCCAGGGCGCCGCACGAGGGTGGGGCACTCTTTATACGTATTTCTACGCTGTGTGGTTTGCCACTATGCTCATTCATCGTGAACGGAGAGACGATGCCGCCTGTGCAGAGAAGTATGGCGATGACTGGGACAAGTACAAAAAGGTTGTGAAATGGAGAATCGTTCCCGGCATCTATTAGAGTGGAAACACTCTGGAAAACATTGCTGGCGGGCAGCTCCTGTTGGAGCTTCCGGACGCAGCGTTAATCGAATACCCGGTCCCCATCGGTTGAGTTCATCATAGAGGGGGTTTGCTTGCAGTGTAGTCGTTCCTGGCGAAGACGTCAAAAATGGGTTGGATATGGAGTATTTAATGTATATCCTTTGCCACGTGTCTCCCGAGAGACTCCTCTCTAACCACTCACCTTAATAACCCAGAGCCATGTTCTTTTCAGATGAAGTAGGGTGATAGTTATCCATGTACTTATCCCAGCCGGACTTCATCAGGGCAGGCACAAGGAGAGGTGTATAGACAAGATAGGAAAATGAGACTAAGTCTGTTCAGATTTCTCACTGCCCCAACCATGCCATTTAGGAGACTAGCTGCCTTGGACTCTTGCATGTTAGCATTCACTTTGCCTGAACTATAGTGCATATTCCTCCCAGGGAGCCAAATAAGTCTCAGGCAAAAAAATACCCCATACAACAAATTTTTATGATGGATTAGACCCAGTCTCGCAATTTAAGGGAAAAGAAGAGCACAGGCAATTGTTAAGAAATAAATAAACAAAATGACAGCTCGATGGAATGGCCACATCTGAACCCATGATCTGAGCGCTGTGCTGATTGGTGTTTGAGCCATGAACAAGGGCGGGAGCGAAATCAAGTTCAGCTGGAGATAAGAATAAGATGGATCCCAACCCACCGGACCTTTACAGTGCTGATCCAATGACAACTACGGGTGGACAGATAATTGATGGGAAGGGAAATACCTCAACCCAGTATGGCCGCCGGAAACCGATATCCCTATGGTGGACAACTTTGCCGTCCTGGATCCGCTTAAACCGCCCTGGAAGCTCTTTTGCATGATACAGGTCGATAGCAGCCTGGAGGTTTAGCTTCTGTGGTTCACTGGTTGACAGGGTCATTGATCATGGCCTGCAGCTTTGCAATACGGCCTGGCACATCCCACTGAATTGGGATGGGGCACGCAGGCAGTGGGTTGAAAGGGCAGGACGACATGGCTTGCAAGATCAAGATGGAGATGGAGATGGAGATGGCGATGGCGATGGCGATGGCGATGGGGATGGGGATGGGTTAACTAAATCATTCTTGGCTGCGGAGTACAGTACGGTGTCCACCGCAGCCCCACCGGATAACTAGCTTAATATCATTACCTAAGATTGTTACTTTTTTATCATTTCTGATGTACTCTGTACCAACGTACTACAGCTTTTCTAGTAGAATCTTTGATACCACCTTATCCCATCCCAAGCTTGTAAATTTGGTACTAGACCTAATACCAATCTGTCAAGCTAGGGCCCGATACCATACCAGGTCAATCAAATAGTTTCTCCATCCCATCCCAACCTGCTCCTAAACTAGTACAGTACTGTTATAGTACGAGTAATTCCGGGAAACGTGTTCAGCCTAAGGATGGGCGAGGATGCAGGGTGAAGATGGCATAAAGATGGGTGAGAATAAAGCGGCGGGTGCTAGGCACTAGTTAGTTAATCCAGAACAGGAGGGATCCAGGTCCCCGCATATACAAACATCCAGAGTTGCCTATCATTTCGCCCACCGAGTACAAAATGGCTGAACCAGTTGAGGCAATTGGCCAAGCTGCCAATGATCGCAATGATATCTTGGAAGTTGACTCCCAGGTCCGTAATGATCTCCGTCTGGCGCTTATGTCCGCATAACTCGTCCGGATAACCTGTTGATTATTTGCTGCTTCCCTTCCACAGGCTACTGAGAACGACTCTCTTTATGGATCTGAGCTCTCGAACTACACGGCCTCTCTCACATCCTCTGTCGTTAACTACCGACAGGAAAATGGTAGACGATATCACGGCTACCGCGATGGGAGTAGGTCGCTTCTGCATATTTGCTAATGGTGGTCCTCGATGCTAAATAAGTCCGGCGAAAGATTACCTCCTCCCAAATGATGAACAAGAGTCGGAACGGCTGGATATGATTCACCACATGCTGCTAACAGCCATGGAGGGCAAATTGTTTCTGGCACCGATTTCATCAGGCGTGAAAAGAGTGATTGATCTTGGGACCGGGACGGGAATTTGGGCTATCGACTTCGGTATGCAAATCCAAATAGAGAATACCGTTGGTGCTGCTAGATGGCTGATTTTACCTTGCCATAGGTGAAAAGTACCCGTCTGCAGAGGTGTGTGTATATTATATCTTCATCAGAGGCCAATGTCACCGGAAGGTTCGCAAACTGAGTCTTATATAGGTTATTGGAAACGACCTGAGTCCTACCCAGCCAAGCCTGTAAATTCCTCTCTCTAACTGGTTTTACCTTTTTCTCTATCTCTATATCTCACCTACGGATTGCTAAAACTTGCTTTAGTGTCCCTCCGAACGTCCGTTTCATTGTTGAAGACTTCGAAGAAGAATGGGTCTACCAACCCAATTACTTCGACTTTATACACGTTAGGTGGCTAGCCGGATCCACTAAGGACTATCTTAAGCTAATAAATCAGTGTTACAAGTGAGTCGCTTCGGGAAGAATCATTGGATCCTGGGATATGCTCTCTTACCAGGTTATTAACTTCATTTCACGTCTTCAAGACACCTTGCGCCTGGAGGATGGGTTGAACTTCAGGATTGGAACCCTAAGCCCTACTCGACAGATGGGTCCTTGAAAGGCACTGCTCTGGAAAAGTACTATGATGAAGTTATCAATGCGTTCACTAAGACAGGATATGCCGTGAATGTCGGCCCGTTTCTTGAACGGTGGCTTCGCGAAGCCGGATTTGAGGATATTGTTGTCAAAAAATTCTTGGTACCGATTGGAACCTGGCCGAAAGATAAATACTATGTACGCAGTGGTCTTCACCATTACTCTCCAAGATCTTCAATCAGTATACTGATAGATATCTTACGCACTAGAAAAAGATCGGCACGTGGACTCTGCTCCAGTTTGATTCCGGCGGGTTCGAAGCGGGTGCTATGGCTGTTTTAACGAGATTTTCGGGCTGGACAGAGGAACAAGTAAAAGATCTTTCTGCTAAGGCCAGGAGTGACATGCGTAACCGTAATGTTCATGGCATGTTTGACTTGTGAGTATACCCCTTAAGAGCTTCTTTTCCAAAGTATGTGAGTTCTAAGTTACTTCTTTACGTGATTTGCAGTTATGCCGTCTATGGCCGAAAACCGGAATGAATCCACGACGTGGTGATGCCGGGCTTATGACTTGCTAAATAAAATTTTGGATTTGGGCATCGATGTTTCAAAAATGCCCCAATTGCACTCTTTTCTCCTATTTATGACGGTGCAGTTACTTTTGCGACGGTGGTTTATCATGTCTTCTATAGACCTATAGGATAACTGGAGGCAGCAAGAGTGAACTTTGGTATTTTGCTGCATCTTGGTCTGACCTCAATTCACTATATTACATACGCACATATCACTGCAGAACTGAAACATCACCCCTAATAGAGGACATAGGCCTTCTTCCTAGGTATGAACTGTGCTGGTGTCATTTCCTGTAGCTGGTTGTGGGTGGAGGTATGGTGGGCGTTGCATTGACACCAGATAATTACATGTTTTGACTAGATATCATAGCATGAGGGTTCGAGATTGTATAAATCTGGCCAATTTCTGTGAGCCCCTAAGGTGTCGCTTAAAGGCCGTTACAAAATGGCTCACACTACACATGTTTCTGCTATTGGGTACAACCCCAATACCTATGGGTTATTGGGCTTTGACATGGCCTATTAATCGCCCCGGAACTTCATCTGCCCGAAATATTTATTGGCCACGTAACCTTTAGGCAGTATATTATTGAGTCATCGTGAGTTGATCACGACGGCCGAGTCCCGGGATCAATGGAGAACGTAAAAGGAGCGAATTGACATCATTGTTGGAGCTCTCCTGGGCAAGAAGGACCTTCAAGATATGAATTTTTGTAGCCATTTTATGTAGTCGAGCTATTGGCAGCTGCAGTATAGGCTGGGGTCATGGCAATGGCAAGCGAAAGTGCAGTCTTTAAAAGCAGCAGGAAATTTTGATCGCGAGCCATGATTAACTGCATCTTGGTCAAGCAGGATACCTTGCCACATGGCTCACTAGCTAGATAGCCATCAAGAATATGTCTGCATACAGAGTATTCCGCACAGAAAGTTGATCCATGTAAAAAAGAACAGCACGCAAGAGAGCATTGCTACCAGGCTCTGTGATATATGGCTCTCTGGGTGCCGGGGTAGAATGCAGTGCAGATTTCCTGCTTTGGGCGGTTGTTCCTTTTGCTAACCCTGTCACTCATGCCGCCCAATCTCTCCCAATCCCCAATTCGCGTGTGGCTTCTGATGTTACGGTCAACATGGAGGGTGTCGGAGAGTGAATATGTAACTATGGGTTACACCTCCCCAAAAATTAATGTCACAAGCAAAACGGCCGTGAACACATCCCTTGGCAACACTGAGCAACAGGTTCCTCCAGCTGGACTGCTCATGAATAAGTTGATAGACTGCTTGAATTTTGAAAGCAAGAATCAGACTGGAAGGTTGACTGAGATGATCCACGTGAATTATGCGGCTGTTGGAGAAGGTTTGACCCCTGATCATGTCAGCAGTAGCCGGCGCCTTACCGAAACTGGCATATAATATTCACTGAAACGGTTCTTCACGACTTTCATGCGCATCGATATCTTTACGCAGCTCGTCGCCGGCATGCTCTTGACGAACTAATTGAATCCGGGCCGCTTCGATGGGCTTCCAAAAGTCATGACTTCCGAACTCGAAACTAGTACCTTGCTCGAATGGATCAACAGTTTCTCCCTCGGAACTGTGATCCGGTCCAGCAACGATCTGAGCGATGGGTCAATTCTGTGGGAGATCCTGCAGGACATTGATCCTCAGTACTTCCTTGGGAACCTCCCCGAAAATGCCCCCGCGGATCACTGGGTTCCAAAATGGCAAAATCTAAAGCACATCCACAAGCTGCTAATCACCTACATCCGAAACCAGAACGACGGCGAAGTTCCGGCGGGCCTCTCAACCGTTCCCGACCTCAAAGCGATAGCTGAAAGCGCCTCCGTCAAGGATACCAACCGTCTTCTAAAGTTGTTGTTGATGGCGGCTATTAGTTCCCCTCATGCCGAATCCTACATCACCACAATGCAGGAACTCTCCACGCAAACGCAGGAAGGATTGAAGGACATAATACAAGAAGCCCAAAGCCCCTCCGAAGATCGCCTTGAACAGATCAACTATGAACAGGATGAATATAGGGCTAGGCGTGATATTGCTATGGATCCTGAACTACAATTCGAAGAACGCGTCGGAAAATTATTGGCGGAGAACGATAAACTCTCTCATGAAAAAAAGGAGCTGGAAAAGGCTTTGGAAGATTTACATGACCGGTTAGCGAAACTTCAAGAGACGAATGATACCCTGGAGACAAAGCTTTCGTCGACAGAAGACCGACTGGCAACCCTTAAAGCTGGGAAGGGCGACCTAGGACCGGACGCAGTCGGTTTTGAAAGCCGAAACCGACAGCAAGAGGATATAATCGCATCACAAGAGGCAAGGCTGATTGCAGCACAGGACGAAATTGATACTTTGCGAATGTCACTGGAATCGATGCGTCAGAAAAATGAAAGGTATCAAAAGCTGCAAGATGACTATGATGAGATCAAAAACGAAAGGGACCAGCTATCCAGAAAAGCAAATGCGGCCGAGAAGTATCGACAGAAACTTCAAGTCAGTCAGGACTTTGAAAAGGAGAACCAGACGCTGAAAATCCAGGTGAAGGACCTGAAGCAACAGCTGATGGAAAGCGACTCTAACCAGCGGCTTTCATCTGAGCATAGCAAAGAGCTTCACAAGTACAAGCAGCTCATAACACAAATCGAACAAGACCACCATGAAATCCAGAATCTAAAGAAGCAGCTGGAGTTTGATAACCATGCCCTGAACGAAAGGCTACAAGGTTCTGACGAGCAGCACTCCCGGGATGAGGCAACTATCGCTGAACTGCGAGAGCGTATAAGGGAACTTGAAGGTTTGGAAAGCCCTGGTACAGCAACACCAAAAGACCATGGAACGTTCCAACGTGATCTTGACGAAGCTGGAAAACGGGAGGCTCAACTGTGCGTTAACTGTTCCGTCTAAGGCTAGCAAGCATTCATGCTAATCAGTTGTAGCAACACTGAGAAGGAAGAACTTCGGAAAGAACTGGGGAAGGTTAAAGGCAATTCTGAGTCTCCTGAAAGCGATATTGAAAAGTGAGTTCTAGGCAACCAATAAATACTGTATTGGTTGACTTGTTTTAGGCTTATCATCTCTGTAGCAAGACTTATCGAAAATTGCACGAGGAGTATGCGACACTGCGCACCAAGCTTAGCGAAACAGAATCACGCGCGGAAACAACTGAGCGTGAGCTCTCAGATGCGAGAATTGACTGTATGTCTCCTACTGAAGAGCTGTCCAAAAGTTCAGGACATATTTCTAACTATTGCGGCAGTGGGGCTTGTTGATAAGGATAAGTTGGACATACTCAACGAAATTAAAGAGTCGAATGCCTCGGAAATCGCGAAGATGCGTGCGGATTGGGACACACTTCAAAATAGGGTTCGAGAGCTTGAGGGCAAACTCGACGTCAGCCGCACGATTGTCAGAGAGGTTTGCAGCGAGAGGAATGCCCTTCGTGCTGCCCGTGACGAAAGAGAGGAGGAACTCCGGGGCGAAGACCAGGTGACGCTATACGAAATGAAGAAACTCCTCGAGGAGCTTGCATCCCGAATCAACGGCACTTCAGATAAGCCAGAGTCATCGCCGTTAGAGCTTCTGAAAGAATTCGCTGACACGACAGAGAAAAGTGCTGAGAACCTTACGAAGCGCGTAGAGGTAAGTCGAGTACCCTATATGCCCCTGTTATCACAACCCTCACCTGCATGTATATCCCGACCTAGCACAAATAACAATATATTACATCCTTCTACACTTACCCAAATTCTTCACAAAACATAAACCCGAAATCCCCCTTCGAATTCACGTTTCGACCGAGATTGGTACAAAGCAGAAGTTGACCATGAATAGGTCAAGAGCAGCACCATAAGGCTCTGGCAATGGTCCTTCTCTTTGCCAATTCTCGCGATTGTCGTGTTCACCGCAGTCTATCCTCAATCCATGTCTACCCTGACGCAGCTGTTTTCCGTTGAGGTCACCTTACACCGTTATGTCCAATCCGATCAGAGATTCTGTGCTAATACATCACTTCTGCCTCCCCCCGGGGAGAAAATTGAATCGAACACAGCACATTAAAGAGCAAAATGTACTCATCAAATCGTTGCAAGAGCGGATCGAGCATTATGAGGATTTTTCGGCAGATTTGGATGAGTTCAGAGCTGCTAAAGAGCGAGAGGTACGTAATTTTATAGCTTTTTACTATTTTGGCTAGACAATTCTTTTCAGCCACGACGTATGATGATAGAACAAAGCTTACTCAACGCTCCATAGGCCGAGCTCATGCAAGTCGTCCAACGTCAAGCCCGAGAAATTGCTCTCATATCCTCCGCCTGGTACAACTTTCAGTCGCGATTGCAGAACCAGAATGCGGGTGGTATGGCTCGGTACCATCAGCGCGGAGGCGCGAATGGAGGTGGCATGGGCTCGGAGGTTGGAAGGACATGGTTAGTACGGCAGAGAGCTATGGTTGGCGGTGTTGGAGGTAAGGGAGCTGTGGGCAAGTGATGTGAAGATCTCCAGGTGGATATTATGAGTAACAAAAGAGAGCGGCTCCAAAAGAGTTTCCCTCGTCCGCGGCAACGATGTTGGTCGCCTGTGTCCATGGTCCTAGGCGTCGTTTGCCTAGTTGTTTATTTGCAATTTGTTTTCACCTTTTGATTTCACTTTCATCTTTTTTATTTTGTCAAGTGCTTCATAGCCATACTAGATACATACAGGATACCTTTGGCATATACAGAGTATTAATTCACACATTGACTTTCTATGAAATTTCTACATACGCAGTATCCGCATGTGAACATGTTATGTCTGTGTCAGTTACAGCGTTGGATAAGTTCATACCATTCCTGAGCTATCCGTCAATGAAATTACCTACGTATAATGAATGTGAAAGAGCCGCAGCAAGATAAGGTACCCTATGTATCTCAACGTATCAGTAAATTTCCCTATCGAAAGACCTAAGCGCATATTGGATGTAACAGCATGCACCATAGATCTACAAGTCATACCTTTGAAAAGATATGGTAGAGTAGGTTTACCATACACCTAAGAGCTCTACATGATAGTTATAACACTGTTGACATTTGTTTGAAGAACTCTGGTATTATAGTTTTATATGTTTAATACATCGTGAAAGGGCTCTATAACTCCCAACTTTTCAGCCCTCCACCGTTGTCCATTGATCCAAATACGAGAAACTCCGTTCTCTCAACATAGGTCACTGTCTATACCAATAAAAACTATCCCTCGTATCATACACTCCCACGGGCCGCGTCCCCAGTGGCGAGACTCGAACTATCCAAAAAAAAAAAAAAAAAAAAAAAAAAGGAAGGGGAAATCAACCACGGAAGCCCAGAAGGCCTCGTAGCTCGAAATGTGAGCATCACACCCATTCCCGGGGATACTTCAAGACATCCATCAGCTCTCTCTCCCTCTTCTTCTCCTCGCCGCCGACTTCCTCCCCAACAACCTTCTTCTCCTCACCCATCCTCGTCCCAGAGATTGGATCCATGTACACCCACTCCGCCGTTCTGGGAAGACTCATCAAGATACTTTCCACCCTCGCGCTCGGGGTACGCAGCCCGAAGCTGGTCCCGCGGTCATACACAAGATTAAACTCGACGTAGCGCCCGCGACGTAGCTGCTGCCAGTCCTTCTCAGCTTGGGTGAACGGCATGTCCTTCCTGCGTTCGACGATGGGAACGTAAGACGGCAAGAATGAGGCGAGGGCGTCAGAAACGAACGCGAAGAGGGTCTCTTGTGGATTTGTCGAGGAGTGGGAGGTGGAGTGGGCCAGAAATTCAGCGTCAAGGTCGTCGAAGAAGATCCCGCCGATGCCGCGGGCTTCATGGCGGTGCGGGATGTAGAAGTAGTCGTCGCACCATTTTTTGAATTTGGGGTAGTAGCTGGGGTCATGTTTGTCGCAGACGTCTTTGATTGTTTGGTGGAAGTGCTTGCAGTCTTCGGGGAAGATGTATGATGGGGTTAGGTCTGTGCCTCCGCCGAACCACCAGTTCTTCGGTCCGTGGATGGGATCTTTGGGGTCTGAAGTTTCGAAGTAGCGGTAGTTTAGGTGGACTGTCGGAGCCATTGGATTTTTGGGGTGTAGGACTAGAGAGAGCCCGGCAGCAAAAAAGTCTAGCGAGTCCACGTCCGTAGCGACGAACGATTTATGGTCCGCGCGCATCTTCTCAATGGCCGGGCGTGGTAATTGGCCGTATACGACGGAGACATTGACGCCAGCTTTTTCAAAGACGTTGCCATCTTGAAGGACGCAGGAGATACCACCACCACCATTGGGTCGGTTCCATTCGTCAACGATGAAGTTCTTCCCGTCTATGCGCGACAGCTCATCTACGATTTTCTTCTGGTGGTCCTTTATAAGCTTTTCCATGCGAAGACGCATGGGCGATGAGGAGGTTATGGTGCCCCCGCGCTTTGTTTTATCATCGAGAGCAGCAATCGAGGGCGCATCGAGCCTGACGGGCTCTGAGGTCTATTCGAATTCGTAATTAGCATCATGTACGTTTGACAACTTGAACTGATATGTGCATGGGTCGTATACCAGAGCATGCAGCGAAGCACCCATTGCTGCTGCTGCAATTGAGAAGGCCACGACCGGCCTCCATCCTCTCGCGTTCTCTGACGACCTGAAATTGAATGAGGATATCTGACGACGCTGGCTCCTTGAAGCTGCAAGGCAGGGATATCTCCAAAAGCCAGGCCCAAATGCCCTTGAGTAGCGGGAGTACATGCGGGGAGTTGCCATAACGATTACGCTTTGCAGGACCAATTGGACAATTGCATCTATGGAGAATGTGAAGAAAACAGCAATTGATACACGAGAGTTTGCGATGTGAATGCCATGAAACTGGGGCTATACTAAGCAGCTGTTACGGCTGCTTTATTTTCCCGGCAATTCCTTTGGCTCGAGCTCTGTCGTTCGACCATAAACACGACATCCCGGAAGCACGACCCATGAGCCCAGCCAAGCACGTGATTCCTACTCGCCGGACCGTGGACGACAGGCTGATCCTGCTGCTGTTCCACACCACTTTTCTGCGCGGCAACAGGTAGAAGAGAAGCCTGCGAGACTTTAATTACAATGAACGAAGTTGATGTCGGCCAGAGGGCATGTATCCCAACCTCGCCGTTGTAGAACCGACCACAACCCGGAGCTGGTACTCCGTAGAGGGAGAAAACAATAGAGGCCCGGAGAAACGACGGAGCGAGCGTAATTGGGCATGCCAAGAAAGGTTTGCGCTGTTTGTCCTGTTTGGGGCATTTGCATGATGAGGTCATTATCTCGGGTCACGGAATACGTGTGGACGCTGCTTGGCCGCGCATGAAATAAGATTCACCCGCCGGTGGGGTCAGCCTAGGCTTCCATGGTCAGTCTGACTCGTCCTGTCCCTGCGAGATGAACGGCCTCCAAACGCGAGCCCTGTGGCACTCTTTGAACGCTTCCTGCGTGTCTTCTGGCGGCTCATTCCTGCTCGAGTCACTCGAGACAGGGGATCACGTGGAATGCTGTGGCTCCTTGTGATTGGCTGGTTGCTGGAATTAGTCATACTACCAGGTCAGCAGCCACTGCCACTAGACCAGATCGGGCCTAGTACCACTCTCCACCGCCCTTACATATTGACTTCGCGGGGCTGCAGCCTTCCATATGAGCGACCATCCCATCGACTCTCTCTCAATCTCACCCGCACTGCTTCTCATCGTCTCCCATAAATCGAACTCATTGCACGCTGCTCACAAACCAAGTTTCTGCATCCATCATCGCCACCCTCGTCTCTACTTTCGAACCCATCCAGCCCATCCCGTTCACATCCGCGATTTAAATCGACTACGTCAGCCCGTTATCCACCATGCGCTCCAAGTTCAAGGACGAGCATCCCTTCGAAAAGCGCAAGGCCGAAGCTGAGCGCATCCGCCAGAAATACGCAGACCGCATTCCAGTATGCGCCTGTCTTCTTTCTCCTTCTCCCCTTTCACCCCTTCGTTGTCGCCAGAATTTGCCGGCCTTCGTCATTACCCCTTCACCGCTAACTCGCTCTTTCCGATAGGTAATCTGCGAGAAGGTTGAAAAGTCGGACATTGCAACCATCGATAAGAAGAAATACCTCGTCCCAGCAGATCTCACGGTGGGCCAGTTCGTATATGTGATTCGCAAGCGCATCAAGTTGTCACCCGAGAAAGCCATCTTCATCTTTGTCGATGAGGTGTTGCCGCCCACCGCTGCCCTGATGAGCAGCATCTACGAGGAGCACAAAGATGACGATGGATTCCTGTATATTACGTAGGTCTTTTTGTGCCTTCTCCCATGTGGCTTAACACCTCTATTTGCTGCATAGTACGGTGACTGATGATGGCTTAACAGATACTCTGGCGAGAATACGTTCGGAAACTAAGTTCGGGGCTTCCGGATTTTGAAATAATCAAATTAGCTCGCAATCCTAGTGTGTACGGGGAAGCGCCAAGGATCCCGGTTTTTATTCGATGGCTCTAAGTATTAATATCAAGAGTGTTCATGGATTTGGTCTTCTTCGGCACCCCTATCCTTCTCCCAGCATACTTCCCACCCTTTTTGGACTCGTTCTTCCTGGGACAAAATACATAAGAAATCGGAATGACTGCGGTGCTTGGTGTTCTGCTTGCTTGCAACGGCGTTTTTGCTGTGAGTTAACGTCTGCTTTGCTTTGATTGCATCATCACTCAATGGACCCGACCAAAGTTGTGGTCAAGATGTTTGGTGGTGCAAGATTGAGTCATTTCTGGTAGTGGTTCATTTTGTCAGGTTTGTGATTAGTATGATAATGAACATGGTTGTCTGCACATTACGATTATTTTTATATCTAAATGGAACTATATTCCAAACCTCCTCTTCCTATCGACTCACGTGCGATGTGAGTAGATTTACCCAGTTGATGCGATCTTCATCTGTAAAGGTGGGCTCCTAGCCTCTTTTACGGGACATGTGACAGCTGGTTGACAGTAGTCCCAATGACTTTCTTCGCTGTACAAACACTGGAATAAACTTTCAATCCTTATATGACATCGAAGTTTCTTCATCGTGTTCCCAGTGAGGTCAAGCTGAAGTCATTCAGACCTGAATCACCATGTTTGATTCAAAACAAAAATTCTATAAAATGGCGTTTTTTCATCACTTCATCTCGTTAAGGACTGAAATTGCTCCTACAAGCTCCTGGAAAAAGCAGAGCTGGTGCAAACAATGGGAAAGCAACCCCGTCAGGGTGGAACAAGGGGGCGGAATGCTTCAAAAAAAAAGCGCCCCAATAAGATTTGAATATTCAAAATCAGAGTAAGTGGACCTAAATACATGGTTTTAAATGTATTGGGTTATGTGAAATGACGGGAATTTGGCAGCTGTCCCTACTTTGTTGGCAACACGCTCCGCCTGCACGCCGGAGATGAGAAACCAATAACAGCCACTATTCTTGAAGTTTTCACACCATTCACGCTCTCTTGCGTTTTGGTTGTGCAGGCGATACCCGCGGTCATTAGATTAAGCCCCACTTCTTTGCGAATAAAAAGGCCGATGGTGTTGAAGCTTTACGATAGGCGGTTTGCATGTGGTTTCCGCGAAGGGGAGAAATTCCTGCGCTGGTCTCCTCAAATCGAGACCGTGTACCAACAATATATCGTGCGCGGGCGTAGACAAGGTTGGAGTAACAGACGACAAGATGGCATCGAGCCCTCTGAAGACGAGAAGAGGGCCTTTAGGATTTCTCTGGATGAGGAATACCTCGATGATTTGGCAAAAGAGATCCACGACACTGAAACAAAGGCGTATCGACGACTGGAAGGCCTGCAGGGGAAGATAATACCGAGGCTTTTTGCGAATGTCAGGATGAGGGCAGACTTTTCGCCGAATACCAGCCTCCCGACGAAGGATAATAAGAGTTGCGACGAGCCGGTCATTCCTGGGCTTCTGTTACAACATATCCCGGGCTTCCAGTTGCGTCAATTGTCTTTAAAAGCCCCGAGGAAGATGTGGCAGAGTATATGCGACGAGGCCCTTCGCATCGTGAACGACGTTGGCGATTGTGGCATCATTAACGAGGATGTGAAGCCGAGGAACTTCGTCGTACGGGATGACCGCCCGCAGGGTAACTTCACGGTTTATATGATTGACTTTGGAGTGTGCGCGTTCCGTGAGCAGGTCGAGGACGAAGAATCGTGGAGGATGCTGCAAGCTCACGGCGACGAAGAAGGAGCGATAGGGTACGCCATGCAAGGGAAGTTGAATGGGGGCTTCGTATATAAGCGATCCGAGAAGTACTTGAAATTGGACGACGAATTCAACAGCGTCAAAGCACGATAGGCGCCACTTTGGGTATGGTATGCGTTCAAACGCCCACCTCCCGTGTGTCGATAGAACTCGAACTGACCTGGTCAACACCAAGCGGGTATACGACCACTGAGGATAGGACAGGAGACCGCAAATCACTCGGCTTGCCGTGCTCCTCCTCCCTTGCTCTTTCGGTCGTCGGAAACAAATTCCGACCCATACGATCGATTGGGCCATTCCGCTGGCCACAAGAGGGTATGCCGGGGCTCGACTACTCGGTTCGATTTGCGCTTTCATAGGCGCACAGTTGGGATATTTGTATAGTTCTTTTTTTCGGCGTCAAATTTCGGTTCGAGCATCGTTAAGGACTTTAATACCATATTACATGACCACAACATGAATTATGTGCAATATAGGCACACAGTCCTTAAATGTTTCTTCTCGCCCTGTCAGGCCTCAAACCGCAGCCAGGTGGAGGAACTTTTGAATCCTGAGCGTACATATTGATAGTGACGATTTTCCCGTCTCTTCGTGGCGTCTCCTTTGCAACTAACATGTATTGATATGAAGTATCCTTTAATTATCAAGGGCTGGTGGAGCTCGACTCCTCTGCCTAGAGCCGTACTTTGTCGATCATCTTCGTAGAGCCGCCTCATGACTTCTTCAAACTTGCAAACTGCTCGTGTTGGGGGCTTCGTGGTAGCCGGCAATACATAGCAATGTAGGACAACATTCATTTACCCCTGTGAGTGTACATAATAGATTCCGAACGAGAGGAGGAATATTGCCAATATGACATAAGAGTGAATCCAAAAGCTGCTGCTGCGGTACATGGTAGTACGTACATACATACATACATACATACATACATACATACATGCATGCATGTGTATCAAGATACCACCATGAAACAGTAAATTAACCATAAACATCATCGCAACGGGCATATTCACTGCACAGCAAGCCAGCTGCTGCATATGAAGCTGGGTTGCAAATGATTCTCATGGATGACAACTCCATCTGAAAACTTCAACTTGTTTTCAATATCTATGTTCTGCTGAGTAGCTCGCAGTGACCTGTCTTGTTGTGGCCCGTTGCCGGCTGCAATTTGGAAGTGTGCTGGCTTTCACACATTGAAAACATAGCTATTGCTCTGCTGATATAGCTGTCGGAGTGTGCCCTCTTCATGGGAAAAAGGAAGTCCCAATACAAGATCTTGAATTCCCAATAAACAGCTCTGACAGCGATGCTACCATATTGCGCTGTCATATGCCACCCAAGTGACTCGTCCCCCACAGCGGATGAAGTCCAACAACTGAAAATCATCAAATATTTGCAAAAAATACCCTGTACGAGGTCGACGGCTTGTAGCAAAGCTCCTCGCGGGAATGCCTGCGAACTCCATTCGTATGGACCTCCGCAACGCAATGGCAAAGCTTCAGGAAAACTGTCTTGCCTGTTTCTTATCACTCCGGAGAAGGCAGGCTGCGGAAACAATCGTCCGAAAGCTATACTACGATTCGCAATTCCAGAAACTTCCAGTGAGGATAATAGCTCTTGCCATTTTTCAAGATCTTGATACGATATTCTTCGGTGATAAATTCCAACAAGAGGCGTACCTTGGGTCGGGTGATGCAGTGCAACGCAACACCAAGGGGGTAACATATCCTGGCAATCCCGTCGTGATCGAGATCTCAGCCACACACTTCGACACCGATTTGGCAGGGACAGGGAGTGAGAGGATGGACGATATTCTTGAGGTATTAATCCACGAAATGTGCCACGCCTGTCCGTTAGTACTAGTAGACCGATCATTTGAAGATGTGGATAGCAGCGGTTCCATAGTGCCAGACGGACACGGTGTCTATTTTGCATTGGCTTTGGGACTTTGTCAGATGCTCATTGATCGTTTAGGCTGGAGAATCGATTTGAGCGCGAAAGGTTCAATACGTTTACTCCGGCTCCCGTATCCGGAATCGGGATTTAGCCGCGAGATGGGATTTGGTTCGAGAATGGGACCTCCTGGAACGCGTCCTCAGGAAATACCGCCTCCTGTAATGGAGCCTACTGGGCAACAATCAAGGGTGATACATGTAGCCCCGTTGAGGAGAAACCCATTAAATCCTAGAATAATACCGTAGCTGTGATCGCTTGAGAAACTTGGCTGGACGCCGGTGGACCAGATTGAGTGAGACCTGAGGAATCGAGGAGCAAGCCGCCGAAGTGTGTTTCCCGTTCACTCATGCTTTTAGGTATTTGTACAGCACACTGATCATCTCTTCGGACTTCTCATGCAATTAACAATGTAGTTATTATTCATGTGATGATTCTCTTGTGTTTTTGACTTTGGACTCGTTGGTAGTCTCTGAAATCCGTGTTCCTCGCTCAAATCGCTGCACTAGGTAGAGTGAGGCATTGAATCAAGTGAATCAACATCCACAAAGCAATGGCCCTAGAACTCCTTTGGTTTCCGTGACCACGCAACGTGAGAAGCTCGGGGTATTCCCTGTTGCTGGCAGGTAATGCGCAGGCAGCTAGCGGTTCAGGAGACATGTAATCGATATAATCGCATATACTGTGAATCGATTTCTTCGCTTCTTCGCCACGCCCTCGGATCGATACGTCTTCCACAACTACAAAATCTCCTCCCTAAGCCTTAACTCTTAAGCTCTGCGGTGGTTCGAGGACATTCTCGAATCCGTTATTGCTCATTCACATACCACTTGACCGTTCGTTTCGTACAGCGATGCCAATACCGCTCCTCAAGGCGCTGGGTGTCAAGTATCGCTCACGAAGATGGTCCTTACTGCCATCCATTCCACCACCTCACCACTCTCCCCTTGCCCAAACTTAGTATAGAGAGCATGTCACTGGGCGCATCAGGATGCTTCTCTCGGTGTTCACGACGAATTCGGACATAGGCAGCTGAAGTGCCAATGAACAGGGCGAATAAAGGATCGCCGAACCTGGGCGCGGAAAGTCAGCTATGGAACGTGACAAACACGGGTTTTCGCTCCAAAAAAGGGGGTAATTGGGAGTTAAGAAGGTGGCAAAAATGCATACTTGGAGATTAAATAAGGATATGCCACAGCGGGTGCCATTGCGGAGCGGTTAGAAGACGATGACAGGAATGGCAGCTCTTCTACACTTGCAGTTGATGTTAAAAGAGAGTTTGTCACGTGGATCAAGGATCAAGCGGCGACAAGCGGCTGAGCTTACAGCCCGTAGCATCGCGTATATGTGGAATATCAAGTGCGGATTGTATCTGTGTACTTTATAGAATGGTCTTCATTTAATATATGCGCTCTAGAGTCAAATAGCTCATCCCTATTTTTGAATCCCGCTTTAAGGTTCTTCGCTGAACTCCTCCAAAAAAGCCAAACCGAGCACCCCGAAGAAGGGAGTTTCTATAAATACATATGCGAAACCCGAGCATTAAAAATCTATGAGGGCGCATTAAAACAAGGTAAAACACATATACGAGAACGCCGATGTACCAAAACACATTTTTCATCATACAACTGCTCCAAAAGCGGGTATCAAGGTCTGCGCCAACCAGAAGCTGAACACCAGCTTCGGTCCAGTCATCAAGAGCTTGGGTGTCAACCCCTTGAAGAAGCTGGTAAGACCTTCGTTGCGAACCATGCTGCTAACGATACGGAATCCGGACTCGGGGTTCTCGAAGTTTCGGTTTTGAATGCGGGTCTTGATGACGTCCAATGGTGCAGAGACGATCAAAGATGCGCTAGCACCAGCCACGGAGGCAACGAAGTTCTGAAGCCAAGACGCCTTGTTATAGTCCGAAAGGCCATAGATGTACTCCTTTGCAAAGGCAGAACCACCAAAGAGCTAGAGATATGTTAGAAGGGCATCAACTAACCCAGTATTATAACACTTACTGCAAATGAACCAGGAGCGTTACGGGCAGCAGTCCAGCCGGCACCGCGATATAGACCCATTCCCTCGTCGGAAATAATCTTGAAGAGGCCACGGCCACGGAAGGCCTCCGGATTTGTCTGTCTCTTAATCTTCAAAACATCGAGAGGAAGGAGAACGATTTCTCCGATTCCGATCAAACTGCGAGAGCCAAAATGATCAGCTCGGTACGTATGAAGGATTGATTAGAGTATAGCCATACCTTCCGGCCGTCGCATGCATAATAGCCTTGCCAGTTCCCTTACCGAATGCATTATCAAAGTCGGTGCCATAGTGCTTGGCAAGATGATCACGGACGAATGGCTGTCCTCCGTACTTGTAGATTCGTTGCAAGACCTGCAAGAAAAATTAGAATGAATAGCCGCCCGGAAAGGAATTCTGCAAATCCATGTTCTTACTTTGTAACCAGCGGCATAGCCTAAACCAGGGAATAAGGATGTGAATTTGCGGAGGACGGAGGCAGAAGCATAATCTTTGAAGACGACTTTGTTGAGGGCCGAGACAGACGAGATCTGGGGGAGGAAAGGGTTAGTAAAAATTGCTCAGCAAAACGAACCGCTTGAAATTGCACGCACTTTTGTCTGATTGCTCATCAAACGCTTTGCGGTTGTATCGACCTGTGTGATGCATTAGCAACCGCCAATATCGAGGGCGATTTCCGCGGGCCCATACTGGATGGAAAATGAGAAGTTCAGCGATACCGGCAGAGCCTAACTATGTTAGCAGAGGCCCTAGATCGCTGAGCAGGCTGTGTCCTTACCGGATCCCAGTAGTCTCGCAGTTGCTGATTCCCTCTTGACATCCTTGGCCGCGGAACCGGCAACTGGTGCAGCAAGAGCGGGAGCCATCGCGGAGCTTTGTGTTCGATAGAAAAGCGAAAGTTGTGAGGAAAAAAAGAAAGCGAGCGGGAGAGAACAATCTGCAGAAAGAGAACAGGAAGAGCTTTGTCTAGAATACTAGAAGAGAACGAAGGATTCCTCTCGCAATTGCGGCGCCCGACTCCCGAATGCTAGAAAATTTAAGCACCGCAATCTTTTTTTTCGCGGCCGACGCTGCGGGACTAATCCCAAACGGACATAGCGCATTCCGACAGCGCTCTCCATTCAATCACATGATTGCTTGGCGCCTGAGTCCCGGGCGGGCAAAAGGGATCGCCCAGCAGCCATCCACGCTTGTTCTCGCCGTCGGGAGAATTCGACATCAACACGGTCCCTCGGGAGTCGGGGCCCCAGCCGGCCGCCCCATAGGGATTCTCCATACGCGGCCCATGCCTCCGCGTGTTTCGTTGTCTTCGGTTTTTTTCGTTGGCAACAGTGAAGAGGCAAGGCATGCTTTGCTGCTTGGGCCTTGTCGTCACTAACAGCACACGCACTGATAATGGCCAATGGCATCTGTCGCTTACATCGATACGCGGAGTACCGTACATACCCATTCTCTATCTTCCCGAGTCCAAGAAATCCGGTACTCACCATAATGTGAATAGCGGAAGAAAAGTCGTTCCGAGATTTTACATAGGGCTATACGAAGTACGCACTATGGGTTTCTATGTCAAATTATACCCCTGAATCACATCCTTCGCTGGTTATGAAAGAAGTGACTGGACAATGGGTTATCCTTTTTTTTAAAAAAAATAATTTTCATCACTTCACTGCTCTGAATTTCACAGTTGAGGGTTTCGTGGGGCGAAACTGTCACTGTGAAGACGGTTATGTCGTCAAGGACTGCAATGTTCCATAAATACTGTAAACATGCAAGCAATCAATGGCTTACTGGGAGACTCGCTTAGAGGCAGTGATGCCTATATATACTCCTACTTCAGCAGAACTTGACGCTTTGAGGATCTTCCTCACAACTTGTAGAAATCCAACTTCTCCAATAGCCATTTCTCTTTCGAAGAAGCTTGGTATCTACGGCATCTCAACCACCATCAAATCCACAACGAAATATGAAATTCTTCGGCTTTACCCTGCTCTTCTTGCAGGCTTTCCTCGTCTGCGCCCAAGCCACTACTCAACCCAAGCTCGAGAACTTCACCCTTGCATCGGGCAGTGTCACGAACACCCTAGATCCCAACGAGAAGTACGAAAAGGAATCTCGAGATATCAACGAAGTCATTAAACTCGACCCAACCAACATCACCATGGCCATCCCGCCGGAAGACTTACCCAGTGGAAATCCAACTGAGAGACAACATGCACGAGATCTCTCCAAGCGCCCTGGGAAATGCCCCGTACATCTACCCTGGCTCTGCGATGGTGTTGTGTGCTTCAATCGATTTACCCATATGTGCTGCAAGGGTGGATTTCTCTGCCAAGACCCGCGGTTCTGTGTTACGAATGCTATTGCCCAAATGGCATGCCGCTGAGCGAAACAGCCCGTCATCACAAACAGATTGGTTGATTGGTAGTCCCTGAAGAAGTTATTGCAATGATGTTTATCAGCTGTTTCCTCAGTTTCTCACTCTGATATATTTAGATTTGCTACTTTTCCCATAGTGTCTTTTTTGATAGCATGGGCCACCAGTTCCAACTCCGTTGCGGGGAATGTCACGCTTCCAATGCGATCGACCGGGCCGTGCGCCTGCTTTACGACCGGTCCTTGTGCTAGCCCTCGATTCAAACCAATTGATTTGTTGCTTCAAGTGTCTGTCTGCAGCCTATATTTAATCCAACAACCCGGGGAAATAGCAACGTGAAATTAACCAGCAGCTATTCACAAGCTCTGATTTTGGAGAAGCAGTTTCATTCTTTGATGTTAGAGATACTCACAACCAACTCAAAGTAGCTCCTAGTATGGTAATATCTGCTATCTATAACAGAGACAAACGCGATGTTGGTGATGATGATAGCAAAAAAAAAAAAAAGGCTGAGCGAACCGGTCAACAAAGGTACTCATCAACTCAGCTCTGTTCCATACTTGCATCGATGAAAACAGTGCAGCATCACAAGCATAAAGTGATACCCCCTTTTAGCCCTATAATCAGCGACGACAATTCAAGTTTGTAGCCGAAATCGTTTTGAGGAACTTGCTTACGCTAACGCAATCTGACACCAAAACACAACCAAACACCACCCTATTTGTGCTCGAGTTCGCTCTACCCTGGAATGAGATAGGTCACTAAATAACGTCGCAAGAATAGCACCAGTAAGGAATATCACGGATATAAGATCCAGAGTGATCATCGCCGTCACGGAGAGCCACGGAACGTTGGTGCGACGTCCGGTGGACAGTAAACGGAACACTTCTGCTGTATCTACGCAGATGCACCAGCATACCTATCACAGCACGAACGCATGAACGGGAGTCAGGAGAAGTTGTCGAGTCATATGTGGTGGGTGGCATTCATGGAAAGGTCTGAGGCACACATACTGCGGCAATGGACCATGTGTCAATTGTGACAAATTTCACTCTGACGAATATCATAAGCGCAAGGACTGCGAGGCTCCCCACAAGTACAGTAGCGCGGATTCCCAGCTGGAGTATCTCATACAGAGATGGAATACCCGACGGGGACATTTTCTGAGTCGTCGACGTGGCTTGCTTTCTGACTAATCCTGAGGTGTTAGGTAGGGATAAAAATGAAAATTGCAACCCTGAAAGCGGAAGCCTCATCAGTAGATGAGAAGAAGAGACAAAGAAAAATGTTGAGGCATTGTTTACTTGAGTGTGATGTACTCCATCGTGTAGCTCTCGTTGCCTCTTTTGGGTTATGTCAAAAGTGACAACGGCATTCCAAAAAGAAACTTTCTCTACTCAGTATATTCCCTCGTTTCGAGAGAAAGCGCAGCGTAGTATCAGACATTTTCTCCTGTTACATTGGAATTAGGTAGCTTTATTTCGCACCCTTGTCGCGATAGAGCTTGATATCGGAAGGATGTGGCAGCTGGTGGCCAAAGCTCCGAAGCACCAATGAGGACGCGAGAAACGGGACTGACGGCTTTTGAACCGTGGCAGAAAAGCCGACGGGCCTAGCTGCGCCAAGACCCTCCTGGGACCATCGTTCATCATGGCGGCAAAGCGGTCCTAGGGGCCAACAGTTATTGTCGAAGATGCGTAGTAATCCCTGCTGGTTGAGGACTTGTCGTCAAAAGTCTCCCCGCAAGGAAGACAGCCAACGATTCCACTGAAATCGAAACGCAACTGAATTGGAATAACAATCCGGGAGCGCAAACGTCTGGGTGCCTTTCAACCACAGAATACAGGCTGACTCCTCGCGTGTCCCAAACTTCAGAGAGGCCCTGATCTCTATTGACTCAGGAATATCTGTCTTTGACAGTCTTGTCAGCACTTGTTTTATTTATAATACCTAGCTTCTCATGGGGCCGCTCTTAAAATGCCGACGGTACAGCAGTCAAAGATGGGCCGGGCTTCGGCATTTGATACCCCAGAGTACTCCAGGACTCCAGAGATAGCAACTGTGTATACTCCATACGGAGTACTCCGCACTGCCGTTTTTCATTGATTTAGCATAGACCCTTTCTGGCATACCGGTAGGCCAAGCTGACCCGGTATCAAACTGCCGCTATTGGCTCTCGGCTACGGATCTGTTTGCCTCCGCCTTGGGAGTGGAGTGGAGAAAGGGCCACCGGGTAAGGCGCAAGCCGTTAAACAAGCATTTAGAGCAGGGATCCGGACCTAGTTTTGGGGGCCTGGAAGTTCATGGCAGTGGGAAACTGTTTCGATGAAGGAGGACTGGAACTGGAATCTACATGTTTCTAAACGGAGGAGAATCAAGTGATTCCGGGCAATTGATTATGAAGGATAACCTGTTAGAACCTTGCACAGAATGCGTTGGGATGCTTCAAACGGATAGCCATGCTGTCAAACTCACCAGCCTCCCTTGCAGGACCCCTGTGCAGTCCAAATGCGATATGGATGACCGTAACCGGCGGCCGGCGGCTGATGTTTATCTATTTATGCTGCCTGTCTGATTCAGCACCGAACACGCGGTCTGAGTATCAGCAGCAACAGAGAAGGAGCTTCCCGGACTCAGCATCACGTGGGCCGCTTCGCCTTCCCACACATATAAAATATAAAGCGTGGTTGGAGTCATGTTGCCTAACTTGCGAATCTCGCGGGAGAGAGAGTGCGTGTGCGTGCGTGAGAGAGTGAGAGATAGATAGATAGAGGGAATCAGTTTACGACACCGCTGCCGTGCTCACACGTTATTCGATTTCTATACCCAGAAACCATGTGTCTCTCAACGTTACGCAGCATTTACTCTCAGTCACTCCCCCCACCCGCAGCATTTACTGAGAAAAATGTCCCTTCTCGGAGTGGCCGGGTCTTCATCGTGACCGGCGGCAATGCGGGCATTGGGTTCGAACTATGCAAGCTACTCTATGCCACAGGAGCGACGGTATACATGGCATCGAGATCAAAGGTGAGAGCCCAAAGAGCGCAAGGGATGGTCAATATCGCTATTGATCATCCGCAATCTACGCGTTGTTGATAAGCCTCAAGAGTCAGTCTTGCTAACACCCACCAAGGATCGAGCAGAAGCTGCCATCAAATCGATCACCGAGTCGTCGCCGCAGCCCGAAACACCAAGCACTCTCAAATTTCTCCACCTGGACCTCAACGATCTAGACTCCGTCAAGGAAGCTGCAGCAACCTTTGCGCAGCAGGAGTCAAAGCTCGATATCCTTTGGAACAACGCAGGCACTGGCGCCAACCTCGTGCAGGTCGGGGCTAAAACAGCACAAGGCTTCGAAGCTATGGTTGGTATGCACTGCATCGCGACTCTATTGTTCACCGAACTCCTTCTTCCCCAGCTTCGCGCTGCAGTGGCTGCCGCCCTAGAGTACCCAGGCTCCGTTCGCGTGGTGTGGACATCTAGCTTCATAGCCGAGGGTGGGACACCGAAGTACGGTATTGACTTTAAACGTCTGGATCAAGGTACAACTGGTCGTGTTCGCAACTATGCCGTTTCCAAAGCTGGGACTTGGATGTTAGGTCGGGAAATGGCTCAGCGATACGGCAAGGATGGCATTATTAGCGTCATTCAAAACCCGGGTTTCCTGAAGAGTGGTGCGTACGGTGGCACTCCGGCTATCAATATGCTGCTCATGAATGGCCTGCTTCGTGACCCAAAATTTGGCGCGTACACTGAGCTATACGCTGCGTTCTCGCGCGACATTACTCTGGAGAACAACGGTGCTTATATCATCCCTTGGGGAAGGATTCGTTCCGACAACGATTGTCCGCGGAAGGATATTATCAAGGCCATGACGCCAGTCGAACAAGGTGGATTAGGCTATCATACAAAGTTCTGGGAATGGTGTGAGCAGAAGTATAAGCTGTTTGCACATTCCGCTAGTTGAATGAACCACGGAGGGCCTCAACGATGCTTATTTCCCTTTTTTTTTAACTTTTATTCTGGGTTAACTGTGGAGAGGTTTCGGATGTCAAGCTTGGATTGCAGGGGGAACAGTTGTTAATATTCTTAATTCGAGTAACTGCAAGGTTTCACGGGAAAGCAATCCATTCTGGGCAACTTCTCTGTAGCATTTTTCATATTGATCGCAATAATTGTGGTGAGCGCAGCACATGTACAGAGTATGTTACTTACATATGCCCCCTACTATCCATCGGTGATTAAGTTACGAACCCAAGCGATCGACCGTAACTACGGAATAGCGAGATCTCACATCTCATACATCATGTCTGCCGTGTTCCGTACAGCTGCTAACTCAGCTAGCCTATAACATCCTTATACGAAGAATATCCTTTCTATTCTACTAAATACTGGATTTTGGTTTTTTCTGTAGAATTCTCTTATTTACTATATTCCCGCGATAGCTCTCCTGGGTAGTCCACCATTGGCCAAAACAGTTGTTCATAAGTTTGGGGGCTGTCTGTTTGGGGCTACCCGGAGAAATGCAAACCCAGTTGCTTGCCTAATATTGGGTAGCTCCTTTCTCTCCGGCCTTTGCTGCAGATGGACAAAATTATGTCTCTGGGTGCTCTCTGTTCACCTGTGTTGATACCTCAATTTCGATCTCTGCTTCCCTACATCATACCTCAGCTGTTAGGTCAGCTCCGGTGTGAGCATTTGCTAGTTGATCAACTGAAACCTCCCTGTCACTTGGTGGCCCAAACTACGCTAAGTTAGCGGGGTGGCAGGTTGCGGCGGGTTACTACCCAGGCGCCCCATGTAACCTGGTTAGAATAGGGGGTTAGTCAGCAAGACTGCAAAAATAACTGGGTTTTCTGGGGGGTTGGTGTTGTACAGTTATCTTGGCAGTTGCATACTAGCTGGTACAGAGAGTGGTGCTGAGTCAGCCATTTGAACCAGTGAGAGTTCTTTATTACAGAGATCTTTCAGACAGCATCATACAGCTGGAACAGCAGTATCAGAGTGCACTCTCCAGACAACCAACCAACTATCTGTAATAGCTCAGGTCAGCAGCTGGAGATCTCAGAGAAAATTCTGTAGAGCAGGCAAATATAGATTCTGTAGATAGCTAGATATCTATATAGTATAATTATACTATTCTCTATTCTGTACAGGACAGAGTGTGTGTGTAGCAGTGCTGCTCAGCACCAGCATCTAATACAGTTATAATACTGCTCTGATGCTCTGTTTATTTATATACACCATATCAATATACTGTACAGCAGATAGTATCAGAATCAGTAAACAGTAGATTAAATATTATCTTAACAACAGATTTTCTTTTTCTTTCTTTCTTCTCTTCTCTTTTCTTCTCTTCTCTTCTCTCTTTCTTTTACTCTAAGTCTGTTTATCAGAGTCTTTATTATTATTATTACTTTGCTTCTCTTGTAAGTCTTTCTGTAGATTATACATCAGCTATTATCCATCAATCATACAATAGCAAGCTGACTGACTTACAGAATAATTTTATAATTTTATATTACTACAATATTCTTCACTACTAAGATCTCTGCTTGTCTCTTCTCTCTCTCCCTCTCACAAATCTGAGAAAGAAAATATCTGTACAGCTCTGTGTGTTGATGGAATACAAGAAGAAGATACTAACTTGTTAATATAGAATACTTGTTTAATGAATTCTCTCTTATTCTGATTAGATGAAGTAGAATCTTGCTAAAGCTGCTGTCCAGACCTAAACTAATAATTAATTACTCTGTCTCTTTATTAGATAGAATCAGCTGGTTCTGTACATCCACTTTTCTTAGTTATAATGACTGCTTGCTCAATCAGAAAGAAATATGAAGTTTATTCTCAGATAAATCTTTCTCTATTAGATTAACATGCATCATCAGTTATACATTAATGCAATTCTGATTCAGTTATACAGAAGAACTTTACACTGAAGCAGTATCTGCAACAGATGTACAGAGATAGAATCTATAACTCTATTTCTATTGTGCTACTGTGCATATAGTTACTTTAAAGACATATGCAGAAACTATAAATAATCAGACTATATATTCTGCTGCTCTCTGTATGACAGACCAGAATCTGCAGTAAGATATAATAACAGAGAACTGAGTTTGTACAGAGCTGCTGGCCACTCACACATATCAGATAGCAGAGCTAGTCTGAAACTATCTTCTGTCTGCTTAATTCTTCTTCTTGAGAGTGGGACAGCAAATAATCTTATTTATATTAAAACTAATTTCTCTTTGTTCTGCTCTGAAGATCTGCTGTTGATCTTTCTGTATGAGATTGAGAAGTCTGAGAAGCTAGAGAATAGCTCTCAGAGCAATTTTATTATCTTAAACTAAATATACATGAACTTTCTTTTCTAACTTGTCTGCTTTCTTTCTTTTCTTTGTGATTTTTCTTAACTACTCTTGTCTAGTTATACAGACTTTGTGTACAGCATCTGAATATAGTTTGCACTTTTATACAGTATTCAGAATCAGTAGCTCTAAGAGATAAAGTCAAGCAAATTATTATTATATATTCAGTATCTCTTCTTCTTTATCTTTCTATCATACAACAGGCTGTGCTGGGTATGGTGGACAGAGTTTGTCATAATAAGAATCAGAACAGTTTCTTTTTTACTTGCAGAATTCTGAATAATCTGTTTAAACTAAGCTTTCTATACTGCTGTACAAGCTCTAGTTCCTCTACAGCAGTGCTGCCACTGGCACTCCCCTGTCTCTATTTATTAATATAATTAATAATTATCTTTCTTCTGCTGTAGAATATTCTCTCTGTACCATCTGGCTGCTATTTTGCTTTGTATAAGATATCTAGACTCTGTACTAAAGAGCCATCTCTCAGATTAACTGTTCATTTCTGTTACAGATCTGGAACTGTAGTGATTGTATGAGAAAGCTGGTATGTGGCTGGAACAGAGATATTAGCAGAGGCTGGAGCTATCTCTAATAAACAGACTGAAGCTTGTACTTCTCTAGATACTGTAGAATCACTGTCTCTCTCTTTATCTTTATCTTCAAAGACAGCAGCTGCTGTTATTATTCTTTAACCAGCAGAAAATACTTGTACAAGAAAAAAAATCTGCTTACTGATCAGTGCTTCTAACTGATTATTAATTTTTTGTAGTTCTGTTTCCAGAGCAGTATATAAATGACTACAGACCACACTCAGATTCTGCTGTACAATATATAGCTGATCTGCCATTATAGGCACTGTCTGCTGCAGCTGTATTTTATATAGCTTCTCTTTGTGGGTGTTGATTATTCAGACTGCCTCTGCAAACTAACAATAGTTCTTTCTTATAAACACAGAGCTGATCTACAGAAGATAATCAGAAAAGAGAGACTGAAAAATGACAAAGTTCTGCAGAAGAATTATACAGAAATAATAAAGCAGATATAGAAACTCTTAAGCAGTCAGATTATTTTTATTCAGTTATACAGCAGAAGATTCTCTGAGCTAATCTCAAGAATTACTCTAATCTGAAAATCTTCTCAGTTCTGGTTTCTGAAGACAGAAGTTGGAGTTCTGAATATTGTATAACTTAAATCACTATATCCAGTTGTCAACCCAGGGTCAGACAGCATACTCTAGTAACTCAGGCACAGACACTCTGACCCACAGCAGATAGAAGTTCTCAGATATGCAGAAGTTAAAGTCAGCCATAGCTCATACAAACTTTCTGAGAATATTAGTCAGATAGCACTGGCTGAGAGCATTACTATTTCATCTTTCAGCACAGTAGATCTAGCTTTTACTGACTTTAATCTGCTCTGCATGTCTAGCTTCAGCAGCTCATTCAGCATAAATCTTCTTTAGACTAGAAAGCTCTGTCTTACTGTAGATGCATTGAATCCAGTTCAGCTGAATCTTGTACAATAGAGACTTTCTTATATTATCTCTCTTAATCAGATGCAGCTGGTACCAGTTCTGGCAGTTGTGGAACTGAAGTGGTGGCTCTTGTACAATATTTCATTAGTAGAAGAGGTAAAAAGCTGTCTGTGCCATGGTGCAGAGCAAGAAGTTGTAATAGTACATTACTGTAGTATACTCAATCCAGCTTATCTGGTTAGTCTTGCCATTTTCTATAATTAAAATCATAAAAAAGTAAGAAATTAAGTTTTTATTTGTCAGCTCCAGGGTAAAGAGATCAGCCAGCTGTATCATACAGCAGAATTCATTACAGAGAAGCATGCTGTAGCTTATTAGAAAGTTTACTACAGTACAGAGATGTGACTTCACTAACTAATCTTTTTTGAACTCTGACCAGCTCTGCCAGCAGTACTCAACCAGTCATATAATATTCTTTTTATAATATCTATCCAGTAGAGTTTCTGCATCACAATTTATAAACTCTGTCTTCTTGTATTTATGCTTCTGTCTTAAATAAATTTCAAGCAGGGCCTGAACAGTCTGGCTAACTGAATAAGAGTGAGAGTTTGTATAACAGCTTTATTAGTAGCTTCAGAGATTAACAATTACAGTCTTGTAGATCTTGATAAATAATTGGCCCAGGGTTTGCACAACAAACTCTCCATTTTTATTTGTACAGTTACAGAAATAGCAGAATCTTTTGACTGAATAATCAATCATATATTTAGATAGAAACCAGAGCAGCTTCTGCTCTGTCACCAGCTCTCTATTCTGAAAGCTCTTTGTCTGACAGAAATGCTAGCAAGTAGAAGTCAGAAAGTATCAGCCAGACTAATATAAATATATTATACAGCATGAGAACAGGACAGAAGAGAGTAAGAATTAACAAAAGAATATATATAATACAGATATCTACTCTCTACTTCTTCTGGCACAACTCATACTGTATTCAGATCTTTTTTGGCCAGGTATTCAGAGTGCTATCAAGTGCATGCTGTATGTGTGCCTCCATCTCCATCATCAGAGCAGACTGACTGTTCAGAGTTGGAGTGGCCATGCTGTCTAGTGTTGCAGAGA